ATCAGGTACTAACAGCTCAGCTGTATGGATTTCTGTCTGCCTAACATCATTGACCCTATTTACATTCAATAACTGAGAGAAGTAGTTCTTCCACCTATTCAAAATGTTGTGGGAATCTGCAAGCACATCACCATTCTCATCCTTCACTAAGTTACTGCTAGGCTGGTAACCCCTTTTAAAGTCATTTATTCCTCTATACATGTCTCTAATGTTCTTGTTCTTACTGTTCATTGCAAGCTCATCAATTTTGTCTTTCAGATATTCCCTCTTTTTGTTCCTTAAATGCCTGCTGGTTTCACGTCTTATATTGTTCAGATTATCCCCATTTAACTCACTTGGATCCTGTAACCATTGCAATTTGGCCTGCTTTCTTTGATCTAATAATTTTGAGCATCCTTCATCGAACCATGGCTTATGCTTCTTCGGTTCATAATAACCTAGACTCACTTTGGCAAACATTTTTATATTCTCTCTAATAATTTCCCAAGCCTTATTAACATCCACCTCAGTGTCCGAGTTTTCCAAAGCCATGAACCTATTTGAGATTTCAACACAATACTGCTCTTTACCCTCTACCTCAATTAATTTCTTGAGATTAAACCTCTCCATATGAACTCTGTGTGTTGTTTGTTTGTTCACTGCAAGTCTTTCCTTAACCTTTGCCACCACCAGGTAGTGGTCAGTATCACAGTCTGCTGCCCTGAATGATCAGACATCAAGAATACTTGAATGCTGTCTCCTCTCTATCATAATGGTCAATTTGATTGATTGTCTTCCCATCAGGAGATGTCCAAGTAAAGTTATGGATGTTACAATGTGGAAACATTGTACTTTTGACAGTAAGATTTTCTGATGTGGCAAAGTTTACTACTCTGACTCCATTATCATTACTAATTTCATGCAAACTCTCATTCCCAATTGTTGGTTTGAAAATATCTTCCCTCCCTACTTTGGCATTTAAATCACCTAACAAATTTTTCATAGGGTACTACGGGAATTTATCAGATACGTACATGCTCTAGTTCTTCACAGAACCTGTACTTTATGTCATCAATTTTATCTTCTGTTGGGGCGTGAACATCCATAAGGATGATATCACACCAACGACCTTTTAGTATTATATATGATATCCTATCACTAACGAACTTTACCCTCTTAACTGCTGATACGGTTCTTTTATGTACGAAAAAAACCTGTACCTAATTCATGATTGTCATTCTCCTTTCCATAGGAAAATATATATTTGCCTGCTGACATCCTGTACTCCCTCTAAATCTAACTTATATTTTGAGATTTCTTCTGCCACTGCCCTGAGCGAACCTGCCCTATAAAAACTTCTGATGTTCCACGTACCGAATCTCACGTCCATTTTCTTTAGCTTAGGCCGTTTCTCCAGAGGATCCGTCCAGGTCCGAGGCTTTGTGTTCACTGTCGTAACTGGATTATTCTTTCACGGTGAAGAGTTGTTAGGCCCACGCCAAACCCCCAAGCTGGAGGACCACCCCTTGTCGGCTGTCCGCGACTGCTTATTCAATATATTCGCAGCTTCCCTCCATACCTGGAGGAGGTCTCCTCCATCCGCAACCTGAGGACGAGCCATGCCGTGGTGACAAGGGACCCACCTAACATGGGATCATTCTAATTACACTTGGAGAAAAGTACAAGTTATGATAAATTAACCAAACGTCCCCGACTATCAGGGACAGTCCCCGAAATATGACTTACGTCCCGGATTGATTATGACCCCGATCTGTTAAAATAAATCAATGCAATTTGAAAAATAGAAAACTGGGATTGTTCGGTCTTCATAGTAACGGGCTACTGTGTAGCAGATCAGTTAAGACTGACTAATTATATAGGAACCGGACTGCGAAATACGTGGAAAACCAGCGAGCCATGTACGTGGCGGTAAAAGCTTTGATAACACAAACTTCCTAAGTTACGATTGGCGTTATTATAAATCAGCAGGAATTTATAATCTTGACAACTTATGTGCTATAGGAGATGCCGCTGCTAGAATTCTAATGCCGACAACTCGACAGTCTTCAGTTAGTATTTCAACAGAACGGACGTAACAAGTGTTATCAAATTCAACACCTCTGTGACAGACTCCACTGTAAACACAGTGTTGCAGCGCACAGATTTGACTTGTAACTAAAGAAACGACGAAGTGTATTTGAAACTGTTGAGTATTATAGTGAACTTCTTTACATTAAACAGCGCAATGTGTTATTCGCCACCAAGCGACCTCATGACCCCTCCGGCGGCATGTCAGCCATTGGACACCACCCTAACCACGGACGCACAAAAGAATAACAGACAGGCAGCTACTGTAGATAGGTAGGTAGATATGATCGATAAGATATTGTAACGTGTTTCGTTACCGATCCAACTTCTGACACCAGTTGTCGCGTATCGGGCGTATATCGCGACAAATAACTTCACGATGTATTTTATATAGCGAATTTTATTTCACATTCGCTCTTACAATCACCCAAATTACAATCTGACGATTACTGCTATCTGCAGTATCACAAATAGTACACTCCAAATGCCACAATACAACTGACTGGCTGACTTTACGTCTTGACTCGGCGACTGTTACTTTATAACTCAGTACAACTGACTGTGAATAGCCTTCGCTGCGCCTCATGTAGCCTCGATCGGACCATACGGAAAACGGCCGCGTAATAGGCACCCTTTTTGCCTGGCGCTGTGTTGCTATGTAACGCTAGCGGAGGTAACCGCTGTTACTATCGTAACGTCGCCGCTGTTGACTCGCGTTGCCTAGCGACCGCGATATCCCTCGGTGACGTCACCGCGGAGGGGAGTGGCGGGGCGGGAACTCGCCTATTACCGTAAGAACGCGAGCGTTACGTTACCGCCACGTACCGCTGGGGAGGTAGGGGTCAACATGTCACAATATAGATACTTGAGAACTCATACATGCTGATGCCTCGATGTGTACACTTGTAGGCTACATTCCATTTCCATAGCAGTTTCAGTCCATAGCTTCCTAGATACATTTCTGTTGTAGTAGTTTTAGCCTACTTCCTTTATTTCGAAAAATAAAATAAAATTAGGCTTATGACATCACCTTGCTGTGTGTCCGTGTGTGTTTTGTCCCCTACCAAATCGACCTTTGTCAGAGTTGATCTGTAAAACATCTGAGACCATCTCAACGGCATATTAAAAATATCTTCCTTCAGTAATACAAACACTGCAGCTTCTCAAATTGTTGAGGCAATAGCCTTAAAATTAGTTGAATGTCTGAACGATCGTCATGAAACCGGGAAAATATATCATGCCTCCTGAGACCATCTCAGTGGCGTGCCTCACAAATCTTTCACGTCAGTAATACCAGCATTGCATACTCTGAAATTGTTGAGCTAATTACACGTACATTATCAGTGAACTGCTTGAGCCGATCGTTATGAGACTTGGACCTTGCAACAATTTTACCACTTTTAATTGTATTATTACATAAGAAATTCTTGTTCTATATAAATAGGATTTAAATTGTTGTTTAAATGACTTCATGCATTCATATTGCAGTTTTCTACGTATAAAACACTCAAATTATAGTGGGAGGAATTTCTTCTTGTTTGTAGTGTAGTTGGTTGAAGCACTATGCTACAAGCCGGAATGTCGCGGGTTCGATTGCAGAAAAGGTCATTGGATTTTTCAATTGGCCTAATCCTTCCAGCTGCACTATGGCGCTGGGGTCGACTCAGCTTCTAATGGAAATGAGTACCAGAAATCTTCCTGGGGGTAAAGGGCGGCCGGCGCGTAAGGCCGACAACCTCACAGCCAAATGTGAGCCGACTGTCAAGAAAATTTGGGAGCCTCGACGTCTCACGGCCCTATGGGCCTCCACGGCCTCTTAAAGGGATGACTTTACCTTTTTTTTATATAATGTCGAAGTCCAACATGTGGCAGCAACGCTCACTTTTAGAACGACGTCTTTTACATACTAAATGCTTCCGTGTAACAACAGTTGGAACTCGTCTACAGCCGGCAATACTCGGCCGTGTTCGCCATTACGAGATGTTGGCTATATGGCCGCTACCGTTCCGGCACTTGGAAATATGTTTTTCACCCATGATTTGGCGGTTGGCCAAATACGAAGCTAATCTAATTGTGGCGAACGATTTAACTCTGCTCATTCAGCAAACGCGCTACCCTACACTTCCCCATTATACGGTCCCGTATCGTAACTCCAAACGAAATATCATAGATACTGCCTCACCAAACCAAACTAAACAGCTGACTTAGTTTCTAGAAGTACCTGGTAGAAGCTAGCAAAACCTAAAGACGATACAACCGCGGACGTCACTAATCTATGGCTTCAGATTACTAGGTACAGTTATGTGCAGCGGAAACGTAAGCAAATTGTTATTCTGCTGAAGATGTCTAACGGCGCGGTAGAATACATGAGATGGACGAGAACTTCGGGATATTCAAGTCCGGCTCAGTGGCACGTAGGAAAAGAATTATTTTTAAAATTGCCTGTTCCTTATGCCACACAGCACCCCGCCGCTTGGCACCCTCCAAGTCCACAGGCTCCCTGACCTCGGGAGTGACGTCATGAGGAGAAATTTGTGCCACAAGGAATTTTGATAGGTGTGTCTGTGTTCGACCGGGATTGGAGAGAGGGTACTTCGAGGAAGTGTAGCACACGGGGCGAATGATACTGCAATGGGCCTCGCCTATTTCAATCGTAATTTGAACCATGAACTACTTAGGTTACGCCCACATTCAGATACAGTTATCTGCTCATGTCATGTTAAATTTATCTTTACAATATCTTGAGTATGCATGGTTCCAATATTATCGTCAGAAATAACATAGCTTTATGTAAACTCGTGCCTTATTAACATATTTATTGCTGAAACGCTTTTCTATTGGCCTGAACTTTGTAATCAGACAATTTCACAAAACATGAGTAGGCCTATCAAACAATTTTCTAAGAGACTATCGCAAGAAGAGTACATTCTTACCTGACAGTGATCAAACATGACTGAGTCACAAAGGCATTTCTTGTGCGGAACTGAAGGAAATTATCTGGTCCACATTATCAACCATTCAGTTGCAACTCTTTATATATAAATGTTCGTCCAGAAGTCTCGTGATTGCAATGTTGAATATTCCGGTTCTGTAGTCTGGAATTATTCATTATTCATAGGAATTAATTAGGTATATTCTGCCTCCAAAATGTTATATATGACCCGACTTCATCATAGCAGGTCCGTTCCGTCCAGCCTGCCGTTTCGTTCTGGACAACGTGATCCATAATGTGTGCTTGTTGTTTGTAGGTGGTCAATAAAAACTGAAACACAGAAAGTTCCTTTAAATGCTAAATGCACCACATGACCAAATATCAAGTTGCGCTTGTATCTACTTCGCTGCTGAGCGATTCATTCATCTTCCAGTTCGACATGAAGAAGAAAAACATTTTAATAACACATTTACATTTGTAATTGTCTATATCTGAATACATACGATGTAATCATTCAATAAAAATGCGATTCGTGTTAATTCTACTGATTTCTTCGTGAAGGTTTGGATTTCACTATTACTGTCTCACCATAATATATTTTTAACAAGCTTTAACACAACAGACAAATAGAGAAAGTCATCGTTCATGCATAGAAAACCTCTGAACTGTTCCTTCTTTGGTCACGTGGTAAATTATCGCCGAGCTCTCGCACGCAGTACGTTTCGTCCCAATTAAATTCTCTGTATAAACAGTGGTTTAAAGGGACAAGAAAACGTTGAATGGAAAGATCTGGGAAGACCTAATTGCCTACTTTCCTTTAATACGACACGGGCCGCATAGAAAACGACGCCTCTAATCATTCTTCGTTGCAGCGGCAACATCTTTACCGAGTTGTTCCCAAACGATAGGGAGATATACAGACTAACCCACTGACACCCCAGTCCATCAATTCTTCTATTTTACATGCATTCGTTGATGTGGGAACGTGTTTACCGAGCGGTTGCCTAGCAACGCAATGAGAGATACACTTTACCCAGCCTTTGTCTAAAAACGATTGGAGGGATGCACATACAGACACACAGATTGATGAAGTGTGCCTTTGAGATGGGCTAGGCTTAACAAATTTCATAAAGAATGGTTCAGACATTCGGAAGTTAATAGCAGGTATTCACAGACACACACACAGCATGGAGATCGCATAAGCCTTTATTTTTTTTCCAACTAAATAAAGTAGGTTAAAAACTTAGAATGTGTAAATCTAAGTAAATTTTTCTCTCCTCCACATTGTCCATACGGGCTCTGGGGCCCGTCCAGTCTCAAATCTAATGTGTACCGCGGACTCTTTCCCCAGATATAAATCTGACCACTCTACTCCAGTTAGTGTTGAAGTATTGGAAACGTTGATCTAGACTCGCCAATACGTTTCCATGGCGTAGCTAAGCACAGGGGCCCCTCTACCTTTAGAAGGTTTCGCTTTATTGCGTAATTATTAAGATATGAGCAAATCAGTGCCCTGTTTATGAAATCACACTAGACCCCTTACACTGAACTGACTCAAGTGGTCTCTTCTTCACAAGTTATTATTTACGCAATAATGCATCAACACACTGATATGAAGAAAACAATTTGTGATTGTAGGCTTATCGCATATAACACAAGAGGTTATACATACTCCTACCTGATAAATCGCATGCTTATCATACATATGCTACTACATATATCACACAAATATTTTGAAATCATATATTCGGATTTCACGTGTGTTAACAACTGCACTGGAAACGTTTAGTCTCCAAGGAAATAATGGGCAATTGCAGAATCATTAGCTTTATTGTGTTTTTATTCACAATTTTACAGTTTTCTTACCTCATAGATGTACAAGGCGGTGAGTCTAAGTTGTAAACCTTATACATTCATTGAGGTTTTATGTGCCACAGCATTAGTTCAAGCAGAACACCTATCACATAAGAAAAAAAAAATTAAAGGCTGTTTCTATCTATGCATATAAACTTGAAATTAATTCCAAATTTCATGTAAACAATGACATTTTGGCATAGGTTACAATCCCAGCATTGGATGTTTCATAAGACAAGAAAAATTCAGTAAATATCATTGCAGGTGGTTTAGACACAGAGCCAGTGGTGTTCTGCTACTATGGTTCATGGGCCACATACCGGCCCGGCATTGCACAGTTTGATGTGGAGCACATCAACGCATCATTGTGTACTCACATCATCTACACTTTCATGGGACTAAAAGATGGCGTGATTGTGTCTCTTGATGAATACAACGACTATGAAGAGAACTGGGGAAAAGGTTAGTTAGTGTATTTACGAGTATTCATCTGGAAAGCCATGATAAGAAACAGCATGTCACATCATAAAATATGGTCCCACTCCCAATACATCACACTGCACTCACTCATGGAGCTGACGCCAATTGTACAGTTACTCAAGAACTTCCCAGCATTTTATGGAGTCCGAAGGTTCATTACCATGTGCACAAGAGCCCTCCTGCTGTCCCTATCCTGAGCCAGATCAATCCAATCCATCTCTCTGAGATCCATTTTAATATTGTCCACCCACCTATGTCTTGGTCTTCCCAGTGGTCTCTTTCCTCCTGGCTTTCCCACCAATACCCCATATGCATTCCTCTTCTCCTCTATTCGTGCTACATGTCCTGCCCATCTCAACCTCCTTGACTTGATCATTCTAATTATACTTGGAGAAGAGTACAAGTTATGAAGCTCCTCATTATGCAGTTTTCTCCAACCTCCTGTCACTTCATCTCTTCAGTCCAAATGTTCTCCTCAACACCCTGTTCTCAAACACCCTCAGTCTATGTTTCACTTAGTTTGTTTATTCAAAGCATCCATTCAGGTCCAAGACTTCTTGCAAATGTTCGTAACAAGCTTATTTTTATGGTGACGAGTTGTTAGCCCCACGACCAACCCCAAAGATGGAGAACCACCCCTTTTCAGATGTCCACAACTACTTATTCACTATATCTGCGCCTTCCCTCCTACATCACATTGCATTTTTTCTAAAAAACTTGAAGTCTGTGTTTTGATGGTGTAATATCTAATGCAGTGACTGTACACTTCGATGTGCTAGTAAAATGTTTCATGGCCAGATTTTACCCTGTGTACCTGCCACATCTAAAGGTGTCTTCACCATTCTGGTCTTCATATTGCACATGCACTGCAGACGTTGATTCTTCAATAAGATTAGATTCCTGGCCACCAAAAATTAATCTGCTGATTAGTGGGTTCAGAACTGATGTGACCATTGGGTCATATTATATTTCTGAGTGCTGCAATGACACAGTGGTTGTCAACAGTTCAACTGATGATTTTTCATAGGCATATTCTAGGTCTGTATCTTAAGAGGGTATGTTTAATATACATAATGTTTCATGAGTGACTGTACACCCACCTTCAGGCAGCTAGTCCTTTTTAAATACTGGTGGTGCAGTGGTTAGCATATATCAGTTCTAAACAATTTTGGTAAATGATATATTGCACTTGTTTCTGCCCTTTGTCCATGGTCGAGTATTCTAATAAACTGTGCAAACTTCATTAAGTTTCCATTATTTCCCAGTCACAAAACCTGATCCTAGGTGCATATATAAATTCAAATTAAATTCTGATGTCTATAACATGAATACTAGACAAAAATATAACTTCCACCTACCCTCATCAACTTTATCAGTATATCAAAAAGGAGTCTACTTTACTGGCATAAAAGTGTTCAACAATCTGCCACAAAGTATTAAAAACTTGGGCAATGATACTAAAAAGTTTAAATCAGAGTTAAAGAATTATCTACATGCTCATTCCTTCTACTCTTTAGATGAATACTTCAATGTAAATAGAGAATGATGTAAAATTAAGTTATATTAATTTTTAAGCTAAAATTGCCTTTTGACTTTTTCTGTATCCAAAGGTACTAACCTACTTAGGATTTATAGAATGTAAATAAATTCAGTTCAATTCAATTCAATTCAATAGCTGTAGCTCGATATCAACTCTTTCTGATGAACCCAAATGAGCAAGTGCCACCCCATCTTTACAATTGCAAGCAAAATGTAGACTTAGTTTCTGAAAGAACTGCAGTCTTTCAGAATATTTGGTAATGGACAAAGTCCAGAAATTTAGTAGCCCAAAGTTAACATACAATATATCCTTAGTATTCAAATGACACCAATTTCAGTCACAACATCTATCACTAACATCAGAAAGAAACAACAGAACACACTCAGTACATTCATATTAACTGCCTGAAGATGGGAATAGGGCCAATTCACAACATGCTAGGCACACGGAATATACCTCAGTTAACATAATTTGTTCAACATAGCTGTGGGGAGGGGGTATATATCATCAACCGTTGTCACAAACATGTAGGAAATTGCATACACAAGATCTGTGAAGCTGCCTCATGAACATAGGACATGATTCCTTTCAGAAAGCTGAACCAAATATTGTGAAATTATATCGGCAATCTTATTTTACCATAACAATTCAGAAAGAGGTCTTAATGCTTAGTAGTTTCAACTGACCTAGCTATGGTCTATTGAAATACATCAGTGTAATCATGAAGTAATCACATGTTCTTCAGCGTGGTTTCATTTCACAAAAAGATGTTTTGAAAACAAATACAGAATAGTATGCACATAGTATTTTGCAACATTCTGTGAAAATATTTCTGCACTCCAATTCCATTTAGAACACATGACATCAGCTGAATGGATGTAAGACTGAAAGGCATTATTAACCCATCAGTTAAGATTTGGATGCTATTTAATAATATAATGATCACTTTTTTAGGTGTTACAGAGATTTATCTAAGAAACTGGACACAATGGCTATGCCTAATGAAGTTTCCTTCATTTCCAGGCTCACTTAGGAGGTTTGCTAATTTTGCAAAGACTAATGGCCTCAGGGCAATACTTGCCATTGGTGGTTGGAATGAAGGTTCTGTCAAATACTCTGAGGTATGCCATCTCTGTTAAAGTGACTGAAAACAATTACCAGTAATTAAGCCAATACAGTCATCAGGCAGCGCCATTTGGGCAAAAAGGACCATATTTACACATCCCCAACCCTCTTTACCTTGACAACCTGTCCATCTTGTATGTAGCCATTACATGAAAAATAATAAGCGTGAGTGGCCAACATTAACAGTTAATTTCTTGGAATGGGGTGAGACTGAGTCCACATTGTATGTAATCCCCTATTTGGTCTATTTACCAGCTCCAGATGATAGATGATAAGTGTGGAGCATTCAGCGGAATGAGAATTGGCAGGGGAAACCGAAGTACTCAGAGAAAACCTGTCCCAGTGCCACTTTTTACATCACAAATCCCACTAACATGAACAGATTTTGTAGGATATGTGTTTCTCACAATGGTCTAGCTTGTGTGCTGTCTTATTTGACCATGAAGATAGAGATTATATACTCTTCCGAAAGGTTGGTTGACTTTCAGTGGGCTACATGGCATTATGACAGAACTCTTCAGAAACAGATATGTTGGACCTGAGGTCACAGTGGTGACTATGAAGAGTAGAGTAGCCATGTAGTCCAATAGAAATTTGCTTGTGTTCCCTTGCCAGTTGCTCACTTGGCTACCTTGAAGATGCAGATGGTACATTTCTCTGAAACACTGAATTCCTATCAGACTGCATGCCACCACATTCCAGATGATAACATTCTTTGCAAACAAACTGCACTGTATATTGACACTCTTCTTCTATCATGTATATTGGAGGAAGAACAAACTATCTAAATGAAATAAAAATATAAAATAATATATACTATATACAATTGACATAAGAAAAGGTAAAGCTATCCCTGTAACAAGCTGTGAAGCCCCATAGAGTTGTGAGACATTGAGGATCCTGCATTTTCTAGAAAATCGGCTCATAGATGGTGGTGAGGTTGTCAACCTTATATGCCAGCCACCCTCTATGCCCAGGAAGATTCCTGGTACTCATTTCTGCTAGAGGCTGAGTCAACCACAGGGCCATAGTGCAGCTGGAAGGATTAGGTCCATTGAAAAATCCAATGACCTCATCAGGAAATCAACCCATGACCTTCCAGCTTGTAGCATAGTGCCGCAACCAACTACAGTACCATGTGTCCCCATTAAGGACACACATGTTGAATATTAAGTACAAATAGACCGTTTTAAATCATAGATTGAGATTTTTAATTGGTATATTGTTTCATTATATAATTCTGTAATTGGTTTTATGTTCTTGTAGATTTATTTTAATTACAGATATTGTATACATTTATTTTAAGATGGCTTGTTGCCTATATATATTGTCGCGTATCGGGCGTATATCGCGACAAATAACTTCACGCCGTATTTGATATAGCGAATTTTATTTCACATTCGCTCATACAATCACCCAAATTACAGATTTACGATTACTGCTATCTGCAGTATCACAAATAGTACACTCCAAATGCCACAATACAACTGACTAGTTGCTGGCTAACTCGGAACTAGCTCGGAGGTAGCTCGAGGACTGACTCGTAGGTAGCTCCACGACTAACTGACTGACTCAGTACAACTGACTGTGAATAGCCTTCGCTGCTCCTTATGTAGCCTTGATCGGACAATACGGAAAACGGCCACGTAATAGGCACCCTTGTTGCCTGGAGCTGTGTTGCTAGTAACGCTAGCGGTAGTAACCGCTGTTACTACCGTAACAATCCTGTTGCGTCACCGTTACGTTACCGTGCGGAGGAGGGGGAGGGGAGCGCTGACTCACCCGCCGCGTCACTGCTGGTGGGGGGGTTCTCCTTTGCGCAACATGTCACAATATATATGTATTTTATGAAATGTATGTCTTTTTGCTATGCTTATCATACATGTAGTATATATTCTGTGACAAGTTCTATATCTTGTGGTCTTGTGCCAATGATCACTTTTTGAATGCAATAAATAATAATAATAATAATAATAATAATAATAATAAATAACAATAATAATAATAATTAAAATACATTTACATTATGTAACTTTAAGCTGGAATAACTAGGCCAGTAGAGTGATTTGATGAGGGTTGAATGGCCAAGGATTTACCAGTTCAGTCAAGAGATTTTTCTTTTCTCCACAGCACCCAGCCTCCTATCCAATGGGTACTCTGGATTCATTCTTGGGGTTAAAGCACCCTGGGCATGAAGCTGACCACTCTCATGGATCTATACATCCACACACCCATAGATCTTTAGTGCAGTGCTCAATTAATTTATAAAAGGGCAACTTTACTTTCACCTCTGTATGCGCCTGTATGACGACTGCACTGCATTAGGGAAACTGCCACGCCCATGTATGGAACTGTGTTGCTGAATATGTGAACTGTAATTCAGAATTCATGCCACAGTAACGAATGGCCTCATCCTGATCTGACATACAGTGCACAGTAACACTGAGCGCCTTAGTTTCCACACAATGTACTGATATGTCTCAACCATATGTGGACAATTTGTTCACATTCAGTCTATCAGTGAATGAATCAATGACCACAATTCTTGGCATCTTAAATCAACTATGTGCTGAATATCTTTACATATGATTTTATATTTGCTTGTATACTGCAAAAGGATGGTATGAACTCTCGAGATGCAGTAGGAGATTCTTTCTACTATTTGATGGCAAGTTGTCTTATTAATAATAAGGAAAGCAATAATTATGGCTGTGTTAGAAATGCTACACTGTAATTCTTAACTTTGACTAAATTCCTGGTCCCTATTTCACTCTGTGCAATTAGCCTCACTGTGTTTCAGATGGCTGAATCAGAAGTTGGAAGGAGCACTTTTGCTGACAGTGTTGTCACCTTCGTGAAGAAGTATAATTTTGATGGCCTGGACTTGGACTGGGAGTACCCCACCCAACGTGGTGGAACTCATGAAGACAAGGTGAACAAGCACAATGTTCTGAAATGCACTAAGCTTCTGTTACACATAAGTGGAGTTAAAAACTTGTCACAAACATTTCACATGTTGGACCCTGATGCAGTGCCTGTATGAGGCTGAATATCTGATTTTTAGCATCTTTTCTTGTTATTACTTACTTTTAACTAGAGTATAAATACAAAGACTCATTCTTCAGTGTGGTACATGGTACTTATAAAGGTTGCATTACTGTAGCCTCTCACAATTAATATGCAGTTTTTCAAACAAAAGGCAACCGATTATTAAGATGGTTTGCCTCCCCATCTTGAGGCACTAAGTAAATGAAGGACATTCATTCTTCACACTTGTTGATTTTTCAGTGAGGGTTAAGGAAAACAAAGAGTTCCAGGCAGTAGCAGTAGTTACAGCAGCACTAGTTTTGTTTTGGAAAGAATCTGTCACTACAGATTAATTTTATGCTGAATTCTTCAGTTAGAATGTAGAAGCACTGCATTACCACCATGATTATAACTGATTTCTAAGCAGTATTTTCATACATCATTTGTAACAATGTTTATAATTTATCTTCATATATGATTAGATCTTCCCGACTTCTGTGATCCATTAGCTGTTGCTATCAACTGAGTGCTAAATGTTGTTGTTGTTATTATTATTGTTGATTGTATGAGATTGAGAACTACAAAATTTGGGTTAACTCCCAACTGAATAATGTTTTATCACATTTTTTAATGCTTTAAAAGTTAAACATGGACATACACTAGGATAATGTGGTAGTCTCGGAAGCCTACTTTTCTCATGAAAAGTAGATTAATAAAGCATATGTAACATACATTATTTAGCTCATTTATCATTCACTGAACATGACATCCAGTAAACTATTCAATATGATCTAGAAGTTTGTGACAATGGACGGACAAAGACAATGGACATTGGATGGTGTTTTTAGGTAAAGACAGGACGATGGATAATGTCCAGAAACATAATATTTGTACTAAAATATTAATTAATATTAATTAATAATGTATTATTAATGTAATTCATTAATGTATTAATGAAGGACATACTTATTTTTTGTAATGAATATTTTACATATCTCAAATTCAATTCATATTATTCTAAACAGTCTAAATCAACTTTTGGCCTTGTACAGCTAACTACATAAACTCAAACACTTCTTTACATGTTTAAATAATGTACCAGTCTTACTTGGCTGAGTACTTCAGCTCTAAATTTCATAAAAATTCACTTAAGAAACAAGAACTGACAGATGCTACATAAGAGATGACTTTCTTGTTTCTCGCTTCAAATGAATTATTTCTTAAAACTGTCAGTATATTTCTGTATCTTCACCTGTTCGTACTTGCTGCAGGAGAACTTCTCATTGCTACTGGAAGTGCTATCAGACAAACTACATGCTGAAGGGCTGCTGCTCACTGTAGCTGTGTGTGCTGATCCTGATATTGCAAAGGAAGGCTATGACTTTCAAAAAGTGGGACAGTGGGTATAACATATACATTCAGTGTCAGGAGTATCATCCTTGGAAGTACTGTCATCCACTGAAGGCATAACACCCATAATCCTTCCCTCCTTTCCAGTGTGCTGCCACACAAGTGATCTCATAACATATTTAATTTTTATTTATCTGTTTGTGCATATGGAACAGGGGTTGAGAGTTTTTGTCTTCTTCACATCCTTACAAAATGAGGAATGGAGAAGCACAACTCATATTCTTGCCTAACAATCACTGTTGCTCTGCAAAAAGACTCTTCATTTACAGGGCTTTGGGGCTGAAAGACAAAGGCCTTCTATGATAAATTCAAATTAAATTAATATTTCTCCTTTTGAAGATAAAGTGCAAGGATTAAAATTTATTATGTTGATTACATAAACACCCCTATGCAAATCAAGAATCAACTTCATGCTGAATACTTAATATAGTACATAATAATACATTTAACTTCAAAATTACTATCATTGTGTTTTGGTTCCAGAAGAAGGATACATAATACATATGGAATCTTGTTGCTAGGAGCAAAGCAACTGTAACCACAGTTAAGCGGCTTTAATGAGAATGCATGCACACATAAAACACTGAAATTAAATTACATGCCAGTGAACTATTTTATAGAACTTCTGTCACACTTCAGGTATGCAGACTATATCTCCCTCATGAGCTTCGACTACCATACAGCTACCTCAGATAATGTGACGGCGCTTAACTCTGCTCTACACAAACTGCCAGGGGAAACTGGTGATGATGCCACACTGAATGTGGTAAATCTCTTTCATCAACCTACTTTCTAGAAATTACTGTTAACAGTCATCTTGTAAGCCAGAGCAGAATCAGTCAACATTCTTCTTACATATAACATCATCCATTTATTTCCATTTCTCTCCATCTCTGGTCTGGTTACTAGATAATCATATTTTTAAATAGTGTTAAATCAATTTATGTCCAAAACTGTTTGGCAATCATAACACATTTTTAGAGTGTATCAGTCATGTTAAAAACTGTTCCATGGCTTGTTTTAATAGATAAAGTGGCCATTATGTGGCACCATGGCAGTAAATGACAGAGCCTCCCTGATGTTAAGGAAACTGGAGGACAAGTCCTATTGCCCCAAGTTTACGTGTGTGTGGAAATGTTTTGGTAATGAACTATATAGCCATTCAAAAGTGTTCCGGCATCAGTAGGATTAGAACTGAGGTTACAGAAGTAATGTATGCTAGGGGCACTTTTGAAAGAAATGGGGAGTTAGGGGGAATGACGTGAATGACTATTTGAGTTTATCACTACCTCCTCCCCCGTTCAGCAACAAAAACAATCATCATGCTGTTCACTGCAACAGTAGGACAGTACAACTTCAGTTGCAAAAGTAGCTTTAATGTCATAAGGCAGTACACCCCTGGGATTAAAATTTATCAGACAGATGTTATCAACAGAAAAAAAAGGCTTCTGTTCAAGAAATAACATGACATTCAACTAAATGTGTAGTTTTATATTCCAGTGACAAGCTTTGGTGTGCAAGCAACACACCTGTTATTTCAGATCGCAGAAAAAATAAAACTGTTGGCTGAATAATACCTACTCTCATGTTGATAAACATAAACTGATGCTGCTCATTACTTTTGCTAAAACCATTCTACAATCTAATTTTTAAAAGCAACTATATTTACTTGCCACATAACCACTACATGACAGTAAAATTCAGTACTCCCCATTATTTACTAGGAGTACAGCGTGAACCAGTGGCTCAATGGAGGAATTCCTGCAAAGAAGCTGCTTGTGGGCATACCTCTGTATGGCCGAACATACATCCTTGCAGATGGTCAAAACCATGGACTGGGTGCTAGTATCATTGCCAATGGTACTGCTGGTCCATATACACGGGAGCCCGGATTCCTCTCCTATTATGAGGTATTTCAGTCTCCATTCCTTCAGCACAAATGATTCCTTGCTCAAACTATACAAATCAAATAAGATTTAAATGCATACAACGTAAACTTAATAGAAATATTCTGCAGAAGGGATTATAAATGACATGCTTTATATATATATACTATATACTGTCTCACATGTAGGGTGGTATGCGTTATGAAATGACGAGTTCTACTTTGGATGATTGGATTTATTAGCACTTCAGTTACACACTCTCTCTTAATTACATTTAAATACAGAGCTATCTCTCATTTACACACTTTCAGTTCACCATTACACATGCAGTAGGATTCTGTCTTCACTAGTCGTCTCCTAGCAACGAATCTCAACACAGAGACTAGCACTTCAGATCATTACAGATATCACTGCACCACATCATACAGTCTTCTAATTCACATGCAAAGTCTTCACAGGCCGACTTCTAGTTCTTAAACTACAAACTTCCTGTGGCTGTCTCACACAGACAACTGACTGTCACTTAAACACTCTCAAATACTGGAATCTCTTGTCTCTAACTGTCGTTACATAGCCTCCACAGAAGAAAGCCTATACTGTTGAAATGTGTTATCGAACGATTGCATAGCAATGGTCACAGCAAAGGCTCCATAGAAAGCCAATCACATGTTAGCCAGTATTCTTGCAGTGTTCATTGATTTCAAATTCAAGCAGATCCAGACAGAGGTTGAGAAGTATATTCACAAACCACTGGATATAGAATGAGTCACATATCAGAACAAATGTTCCAATCACTGGAGCAAATCTAGGCAACATAATGTAAAATATACATAACATAATTCAATATAACAAAAAACTCAATGCAAATGAACATATTAACCATTTATGCAATAAAATTCCTTATTTACTTACTCATGGAGCCGAGCCCTTCTGGAGAAGCCACCAATTCTGCAGCTACTCAAGAATTTCCCAGCATTTTATGGAACCCAAAGGTTCATTACCATGTTCACAAGAGTCCTCCACTGCTCCCTATCCTGAGCCAGATCAATCCAATCAATACCATTCCATCCTATCTCTCTAACATCCATTTTAATATTGTCCACCCACCTACGCCTTGGTTTTCCCAGTGGTCGCTTTCCTTCTGGCTTTCCCACCAATATCCTATATGCATTCCTCGTCTCCCCCATTCATGCTACATTCCCCGCCCACCTCATCCTCCTTGACTTGATCATTCTAATTATACTTGGAGAAGAGTACAAGTTATGAAACTCCTCATTATACAGTTCAATAAAATTCCTACAGTTTGTAAAACAGTGCAACACCAGACATCATTGCATCTGTGCGGAAGTCTATTTACTAAACTGCTCCCTAGAAACAGGTTCCATAACCTGGTTGAGTGTGCTTACGGGACTAAAGGTTGTTTACAGGTCTAGAAACGTTCTGGCCATTCATGTTACAATATATATATGGGGCACATGGTAGCATAGTTGGTTGAGACACTATACTACAAGCTATAAGATTATACGTTCAATTCTCAATAATATCACTGGACTTTTCAAGTGATCTAATCCTTCCAGCAGCTCTATGGCCCTGGAGTTGACTAAGTCTCTAACATACATGAATGCCAGGAATCTTCCTGGGGATGAACAGTAGCCAGTGTGTAAGGCTGATAACCTCACTGCCATTTGTGAGCTGACTGTCTAGAAAATGTGGGAGCCTTGATGACTCACAACCCTGTGGGCCTTAACAGCCTGTTACAGTGATAAAACTAACTTCACAGAGCTCAGCCCTTCTTCAGAAGCCACCAACTGTGCATCTACTCAAGAACTTCCCAGCATTTTATGGAACCCCAAGGTTCATTGCCATGTTCACAAGAGTCCTGTATTGGCCTCTGTCCTAAACCATATAAATCCAGTCCACACCACTCCATCCTATTTTTCTAAGTCCCATTTTGATATTATCCACCCACCTATACCTTAGTTTTTCTAGCAGTCTCTTTCCTTCTGGCTTTCCACCAATAACCTATATGCATCCCTCTTCTGCCCCATTCATTCTATTTGTCCTGCTCATCTGTTACAGGAATAGCTTTACCTTCTATATATGTATACATATATAGAGAGTGAGTCATACTGAAATGTTATACACTGATTGAAAGGTTGTGTTCAGAATATCAGGCAATGGATAAAGTCTAAATTCAATAATCCCAAAGAAACAAAAGATGTCTGCCATAATATACAGTATAACATTTGATTAAAAATTAAAAACACACAAGACATCATAGTTTAGAATGTAGTGTAAAATATCATATGGTCCAACAAGGAATGTTATCAATCATTTAAATTCTTAAGATATACACAGGTAAGGCTATTGAACTTGTTTATGTTTTTTGCTTGCTTCTCAAAACAATGACTGTTAAAGTAGTGCGCACATTGATGATATTTGAGAGTAACACATATTTATTCATTCTTCTAGGTCTTCTTTTGGTGTGCAGTGATCAAGGCTAGTTCTTTCTGACTGGCCCAACTGTGTAGTAACTTTTCATTCCTTACATATCATAATGAACACAGTACAAGTTTCTTAAATGCTGAGTTGAAAGAATAACAATGAACAGTGGCCAAGTTAATGTTCATATAAAGAATACAGATGCATTTTGTCTGATCGTCAAACTTTTACATGTACCTGGCAATATGAGTCACCAACTTTTCAAATTTAGTCAATTACATATCATTTCTCAAGAACAATCTAACCTAAGGTGTGATCATAATTCCTGCTGTAGAAACTGATAACCTTTTCAGCCCCAAGTAAATCCCTATATTTACTTCCATCCATTTTTGTAACTGGTCCTATCTGGCCTCTAACATGATATGCACTAATCACTCCATGTAATGCCAAGGGCCCAACTGAATACATGTTCTTCTGCCACTCCATGTGATACATATGCAAGCAATGTGAAATTAGATTTCATACAGCATATCCAAATTTTGTACAATGTATGACATACATTTGGTAAACCTCCATCACTCAATAAATAGTATGGATACAAAATACAAAAAAGAAAGAAAATTTCTTTGGCCCAGTTGGCTATCCATATCACCAGGAGAATTTCACAGCAACCAAGAGGACATAAGAAAACAATAAGAAATGGCCAAAATACAAGTTAAATCTTTAAAGTAATTGCTTAATTATGCCACTTGCTGGTATCCATCAGATCCCAGGCTTGGCCATTAGTGACTGGAATCCAGAAAGGTGGCATTACAACTGACCATCAAATCATGAGTGACATGTTTTCTATTCCCACAGATATGCATGGTAAAAGAGTGGAATGTTGTGACGGATGGTGCACAAGGATATCTGTACGCTTACTATGATGACAACTGGGTCAGCTATGATGATGTCAACACTGTCACAGCAAAGGTAAGATAGTGCTTTCCACAGGCATACTCTTCTACTCTGAACTATTATCACATGACTGTAACACAGTCAGTTCAGACAAGCAGAGAATCAAGGCTGACTCTAGCAGAACCATGAGAATTATTCCTTAACCTTAATATAGTGCCTGTCATAAGCTAGCCTAACTTCTCCAACAAATTTGTATGTCTTAGTCTTGACTTGCATCTGTTTCTTCCTTATGATAATTACTTGTAGTGAAGTATTAGTTTCCATATTTCGAAGATTCTGAGGCTGTTCTGTCAGAAAAACCAAACAGAATAGTTACAGCATATAAACTGCCAATCAGGCATGCACTGTACAATCTTCTGGGTGGGTCATGTTTGAATCAAGAGCCCAGGAACTGGTAGAATATGAAGTCTTTTATAACCATGACATATGATATTGCTTTTCCCTAGATAACATTTTGAGTATAAATTATGATGCTCCTCAGTATGCAGTTTTCTCCAGGCCTCCTATCCAATAGTTATATAGGGCACTCTCCTCACGGCTAAAGCCGCTGGGAAGTGAAGCTGACCACTCACCTCCAGTTAGTGTCAAGTTCAAGAATACATGGATCTACAAATCCACACCCTTACAAATCAGGATGCAGTGCCCAATTACTTAACCTTTAAACGCCAGACTTCAAAAGAGTGGTAAGCTTGAGCTGGCCAGAGTTTATTTAAATGCCCGCTGCTGGTGCACGTTTAAATGCCCGTTGCTACTCTGCGTTTAAATGTCCGTTCCTATTAGGCGCTTAATCAATTTTAAGCATTGGGTTTAAAAATGCTGTATCTTGCTCAATTTTTATGATAAATGGATGGTATTAACTTCGTTTATATCAGCAAAGAACATAGTGTCACATATTATAACGGAAGATTTGAAATTTTTAATACAAAGTGTTATACTCTATTTTCAGTTTTTTGTATTAATTTTGATGCGTACTGCAAAAATGGTTTCCCAGTTCTTCACAGAGTTGTTCTGCATCATAAATTCATTTCTGGTTGTAACACTTGACGAATTTTAGCAGTCCCTGGTGTCATAAAACAGATGGAAGCAATAAAATCATTTGGTCTTCTGCTAGCCCTGCTTACACTCTTCAGATTTTCGAATCTTTTGACTGGAGGACAGAAGAATGAAAGCATGGCTATTCAAGAGAAAGCTAGAGGGGTCCCTTCTTCAGTGCTAAGACCTTCCGTTAGAGCTGCAAACGTTTATTGCCCCTTCTATTTGAATGAGCAGACTGCTGCATCGTGGCTAAGATACAGAGTGTGATCTGTTTTCTGTGCATTCGTAGTGAAATCGAATACTGTAGTATAATTTCAGCCTATATATAAATCAAGCAGGTAACAACAAAAAAGGTATGTACATCGAATTTTACAATATATTTTTAACATACCTATCTGCAGAATCTGCAATAAAATTACTGGATCGTGGATAAGTTTTGGCATAACTCATACGTATATTTTTATTTGCTGTTGTTCATTTAGGTATCAATTTAATTCCTCTATTAGGATTTTACTCAAGTCTGTCTGGTAATTATTACATTTAAAATAAATAGTTAGGACTGTGCATGTGCTTCCACTAGTGGCGTGTGCGCGCGCTCCCATTAGCGGAGTTTAAATGCCTGACTGGCACAAACAGGGCACTTTGGCCACAACGACCTTACTCATGAATGGCACAAACGGGGCACTTAAAGGTTACGCATACAGACTTTATACCCTACCTGTCCTTCACCTTCTTAGTTCCAGAATCTCTCTTCAGCATCCCGCTCTCTAACATTCTGACTCCCTTAGGATGAGGGACCAAATTACACTGCCATACAAACCAGATACAATCACTTTTGTACATTATAATCTTTACATTTTTAGATACCAGTCCAGAAATGATTCTGAATGGAATTCCCACAAGCATTTTCCAAAACTAATCTACTCATACTTTCAAATGACCTACTATCTTTGCATGGGGACACATGGTGGCATAGTTGAGGCACTACACTACAAGCTGGGAAGGTTGCAGGTTCCATTCCCAGCTAGGTCACCAGACATTTTCAATTGACCTTATTCCTCCAGCCACACTGTGGACCTAGGGCTGACTAAGCCTAACGGAAATGAATACTGAGAATATTCCTGGGGGTAAATGGTGGGTGGCCAGCACATAAGATGGCAAGCTCAATCACATGTGAGTCAACCGTCTAGTACATGTGGGAGCCTCAACATCTCACATCTGTATGGGTCTCCATGGTCTGTTTCAAGGATAACTTTACCTATTTTTATACTATGGCTCCCTCCAGCATTCTGGTAATGAGATATCAACATACACTTTAGTTTTCTGTGTTTATGTCTTCTGGTGTCTAATTGGGCTGGAGTTTTTCTTTATATTTACTGCATTAATGCAGTGTAAGGTTGTTGCAGGCTCAGTTCATCAGGGACAAGGGCTTGGCTGGAATAATGGCTTGGGCCTTAGAATCTGAAGACTTCTGCAACAACTGTGGCGAAGGAGCAAATCCCCTTCTCACAGCAGCCAATAAAGTGCTGGGGCGCCTGTGATGTAACAATGAAAATAACTATTCTCCGATGACAGAGGCTGGGTCATGGAACCATACAGCTTACTCTCTAAAATAAAAACTTAACAAACCTTTTCATGTAAGTACTTACAAAAATAGCCACAAAAAATAATAAAACACATTAATATTCAGCATCAACTAATATGTGGGAATTTTGTTTACATTTGTACATGTCTATAGAGAACTTTAAAAATGTCTGCCCAGTATCGTGACCCCCATTGCCTGATATAATGGCTCCTACTTGAAATGCCACAGCAGCTCTCTATATATGAATACCAGTACATACACTGTGTTTCTCAATGTACTGTGCACACAAGCCTCATCAGTCCTCAATTATTCTCTGTGGACTATAGGCTCATACACCACCACTAGGCCCAATCTGTACCCTCTCAATTCAATCCCTAACACTATATGCCCTTCCAGAAAGTTCATAACTATTTTAACACAGAACATGTCATTTCATTTTAGTCATGTACTGGGTTCTCGGACTTTGTCCATCGTCCGGGTTCTAAATAACTAAGAAAAAAACACGTTTTGGAAACTGGATCTGTTTCTGTCCTCAGGTGAGGGAAGACGCCTACCCTGCTGGGTCCAACAGAGTATGACTTCCCTCACCCAAAGATGGAAACAGATCCAGTTTCCAAAACGTTTTTCTTTTCTTAGTTATTTAGAATCTGGAAGATGGACAAAGTCTGAAAACCCAGTATCTTTGAAGAATTTTGTCATGTTTTTAAGTAATCACAAATTTAGATTTGAGATTTACATTACAACAGGAGGGGAGGGGGGCACCACTTGTTCCTCCTCTCCTCTGGAAAGTTCTGCTTGTATGTTCAGTACACATCCACACTGCAGAGTTCGGTTTAGTCACACAGCTTACACACCAATTTGCATTCGTCTATTACTTGTCTGATATTGCTCAGTGAAACATGCATATCTTATTCATGTTTTTTTTATTAATTTCCAACAACTTTAACTATCTTGAAGAAAGTCTTGTTTATAAACAGAACCTCACTTCACATCTCAAGCAGACCTGGGTGATCTTTCTTGTGAACCTCATCAAAAACTCAATCCCAACTTTTGTCTAGTTTGACGGTTAGAATTTTCTATTAAAAAAAGGCATATCTTTATTCTGCAAGCATCAAAAAGATATTTTATTAATCTTTCTCAGAGAGGCAATTTGGCATACTACAATAATGCATACTGCCATGCAAGCCGTGTCAACAGCATGATCAGGGCAACTATTTAACTGGAAACAAATACCTTCAGCTCCAACAGCAACATACGTTCATATGAATGAATTATAAGATATGTACTGTCAAACCTGACTGACAATTACTTGAAGAAACGATAACCACTTGAATAAACATTGATTCCAGCGGAGGGAGAAAAAAAGTCAACCCTAACACAAACATGTGAGCACTTAAAGCTGCAAGCAAAAATTTCTTACGAAACTTAAAGCAGAAATTAAAGTTACTTGGCGAGGATCCCCTCAGCGGCTACAAACTCATGGGATGTAAAATGTCATTAAAAAAAGTCACTTTTTGGCTTGAATGTAACTTGGGTGCTGTTAGTAATGAACATACGAAATACAGTAAAACTTGGTTATAGCAACATCGGTTTCTGCGACACCTTGTCTATTGCGTCAAATATTCAATGGTACGAACTAATTCCTCATAAAGCAACTGTTTTTACACCTTGCTTAGTACGACATGCACAAATGCATCAACCTCGTATGTAACGTCATTTTCATTCCTGAATTTCTCTGATATCGTGGGAAAGTTCGATGTGTCTGCCCACCCTCACTTTCTCTACTTGCTGACATGACTGTCCTGGAAGAATACGACCGCGGGCTGCAAGAGAAGCGTGGGTTTTATGCAAAAACAAGGGTGTGGGGTGGGACTGCGTGAATAGTGCAAGAGGACGCGGCAGGTTGTAAACTGCATTCCTTTCCTAGAATCTCGTCTAACAGGACCTCACATTGTCTACTTACCCTATAGTGTTCCTGCCTAAACCCAGAGAAGTGCAGTAGCGAAAACATGGCAATGAAAAGGAAAGTTTTAAGCATTGAAGAGAAAGTTAAAGTGATTTGTGAAATACTGTATGTATTGTCAGTGAAAAGCGCTGTAATGTGTCTCTGATATTACACATTTGGGCAATTCCACGTTAATGTTACGTTAGTCTGTACTTAACTATGTATTTCACTAAAAAATGCAACATTTTAACTCGGTTTTTGGTAGATTTTTACGTGACTAACATAAGGCTACTGTGGAAGTGCCCATTTCGGTTATGACGACATTCGTTTATAATGACACTATTTTTAGGTCCCTCTGATGACGTTATAACCAAGTTCTACTGTACTTTCATATAGATATGGTATCAATGCAGCATGTTAGCTGTCTACCACTGGGCACTGGTACAGTCACTCTCAGAGGCAAGGCACAAACACTAGTAGCTACACAACAGGCGAGTTCATTATGCAATTTCCAATTTTATGTTACGTGTTTACATTCATGTTTTTTTTTTTTGTTTCACCCCAAATCCGAGGGCGTTAGTTATCTTTGCCATCCAGTGTAATTTATGGTTCCTGTTAGTGTCATGATACAGATTGAAGAATCAGATGGGAAGTGTACACTGTTAATACTCTTGCTGCCAAACCTGCCTGTGCCAAGCTTATCTATTCACAAGCTAGTATTTAGTTCTACAGGATGGTTATATTAACTTCTGTGATGACATGTATTTCTGTTTTGAGCTGCCATTTCATGAACACTGTTATGTAAGTATTAGGCAGTCTTCACCATAGGCACTAAATAATCCTATACACCACACGTCCTTGGGACCTACCATCCTGAAGACCAATTTGATTAATGCTATGCAAACCATGGAGCCCTTTAAGCAAATTTTTCATATTGGAAAATAAGGTCAGAAATCACTTCTTTATGGGGAAGAATCATGTCCATGATTTATTTAAACCATCTTGCAGTGCATACACTCATCTATCTCCTTCTCTCACTCGCACTACATGTTTCGGCATAAAAATGCCATCTTCAGGTGCTTACTCAATCCACGCCAAACTACCCAGCAGGCCCAACAGTATAACACATGCAGTCACAGGAGCAAGACACAACAAAAGCACAACACACACACGATAGTGAAGGAGTGCTCCAACAGAGGAGGATGGGCGTGACTGGCGTAGTGAGGTGCGACGTAGCGATGAGGAATCCTGAACAATTTTAATATTTTTAACGTTTGACATTTGTCAATGTATATGATAGATACATATTTTAGTTATTTTAATGTGAGGACAAGGCATGCAATGAACTAGTTTGGCGTGGATTGAGTAAGCACCTGAAGATGGCATTTTTATGCCGAAACATGTAGTGTGAGTGAGAGAAGGAGATAGATGAGTGTATGCACTGCAAGACGGTTTAAATAAATCATGGACTTAAATCAGTGCAACAGGACGCTAAAATATAACATTAGGGAAGAATCATTTTAGATTCCTGAATTTCTCTACTTTGTACTCTCCATACTTCTCACAAAGGGTAAAACAGAATGAGACTCAGCATCACTGTAAAACTGGCTCAAAGCCTTTTAATTTTAAGAACATCCAAGAATATGTTATACTCAAATTTATTACTTCAACACAACAAGGAATGAGAAATTATTTCTCCATATAAATTACAAAGCAAGTGAGCCATTCATCCCAACAAAACACAATTCATTGGGATTCCTGTGGAGATATTAGGGCTCGATGTGTGTCCCTCAGGTACTAGAGTGCATTCATTGTTGCCCTGTGGTCCAGGAACTGGAAAAGCAAAATTCTCTGTGCATCGCACAATGTCATCAATGACTCTCCCACATGCTGCTAGGAATATCTTGTCTATCTGCCATTCAGCCCACACCTTGTGCATCAAGATTACTTCTGTGGATCAAAGAAGCACTTTGAAGAATGCTTCCAACATGATCAGACGAATGCTAAAGTGTGCCAGTGGCCGCAAACACTCTGGAACTGAATATGCAGTGTGTAATTTGAACAAGTACCTCAACTGGGATGGTGAATAAATGGAGAAATACAAGATTTGTCCATGATGAAGTAATAAATATAAGTGTAACAAGCCTTCAACTGTTCTTTATTGCACAGCCCAAGCAAATATCAATGACAAAGAAAAACACGTGTATACAAATAACAATGCATAAATCAAAAGTTTTCTTGATAACAGCTGCATTACAGACCCCATCAAATTAAACGCGTAAGTGCGTCCACAGCAGTTCTTACACCACGTAAAATATTCTGAGGTTAGCTTCACTAACTACAGGTCATGTAAGTCACAACATGAAATGTGTTTATGTGAATCACTGGTGTTCTTGCAAGCACTCAGCTCTTTACCTCAACCTGAATGATCACTGTGAATACAGGAATGACATGTCGATATTCATGCTCCATCCAGTGGACAAGCATCCTTTCCAATTGCTCCATAAACAGTTATCCAATATGTACTGTGGTCACAACACACAATACCCTCACTGCATATTTACAGCTTTCCTTAATTTTGTCAGTCTGCTCCCTAGAAGGCCAACTGACACTGATTAGGCCAACCATGTGTCCATTACATTCACATCTAATTTTTTCAAGAGTAACAAAATTCCTTTGCCTCTTTCCTCCAGCACCATCAGTTATAAATTATGGACTGTAAAGGTAAGGTAAAGCTGTCACTGTGCGTAACTAATTAAGATCATGAAGGCATATGAGGGAGCGGATGTAGACCCACATTTTCTTGACTTCAGCACTAGCTGGAGGTGAATGGTCTGCTTCATGCCCCAGCCAATTTACTCCCAGGGAAAGAGCTCCTGGTACTCATTAGATAGGAGGCTGAGTGGACTCCAGAGCCAGTCCAGATGACATGGAGAAAATTCTGGACCCCACTGGGACTCGAACTCTGACCTCAGTCATCCAGCCCATAGCCAGTCGCTATATTGACTACACTATCCTGGCTCCTGGACTGTATCAAGTTAAATGTCATTTGAGACAATGTATGACCTGCAACTGCACAGATTCAGCATGGCTAACTTCACCTATGTCAATGACAAATAGTGCAGAGCTCAATTGTCTCTCGAGTTGTTTGTACACAAGACCAGAGATTTTAAGGAAACCATGGATAATTGTACATGCAATCAGACCTGTTGCATCAGTCGTCACTGCAACAGAACTGTTTTCTGTGGTCTGTGTCAAGATGTTACAACCAGGTTTCAAGCAGTTCTGCACAGGAATCTGGAAGGAGAGAACTTGAGCTGGAGGCAGGGGAATAGCCACTGTTGGAGCCGTTACCAGGAAACATAATAACAGGCTGAGAACACTATACTGTGTGCTCTAGTGAGCTGTAAAATGTGTAAATAACAATAGTGTCAGTTATCTGTAGTTATGGCCTGTAAGCGGTCAATAAATCTATTGACCAATCCAAACCCTGTCTATAGTCACGCAAAATATATATGTAACAATACTCGTCTCTACAAATAAAAAAATCAACTTTCAATCTCCTGTCACCCACCCATTTATTTGGCTGTCAGCATGTTGATTCAAGCTTCTCCCACAACTATTAGCTGAGTTACAAACACAGCTACAGCACATGATCACCTCCCAGCATTCTAAATGGGGTAAGAAGTGACACTTCATAATGAATTTAAGGCCATCACTGGTATATGTCAAATGTTCCTCCCCATCCATGATGATGATGGCTTCGGGTCTGGTCAAGTGGGATTTGTGGTGGACATAGTGGTGCTGGGGCAGGTTTTTTAGAGTACTTCAGTTTCCCCTGCCAATCTTCATTCCACCAATTACTCCATAATCACCTTCACCTATCATCTGGGGCTGGTACAACAGACCAGAAGTTGCAGCAGTACAAGGGACTTAGTCCCACCCCACCAGCAATAAAAATGATGGAAGGCTTTGCCATGTAAAATGTATCACTTCAGGCTTTAGCATGTGTTATTACAGTCCACCCAAAGCTGTGTGAAATGCACAAGGAACGATCATTTTGTTAGCACAACACATTTTTAAACAGTGCGCTGAAAACTGCTCAAACACTATCCTTAACCAATACATTTCATATGCAGAAAACCAAACATTGCATGCCTCCATGTTCTAAAAATAGTTACATAACGCAGATAAAAAGTATGGATGAAAAAATCACGATGTGGTTCAAAGCATCTGGTTACGTGTGTGTGATGTAGTAAGTCATATAAGCACTTTATTTCTTTTAGAACTTTGGTTCTTGAAACCTATTACGTTCAATTACACAATCTCCCCCCCCCCAAAAAAACAAAAGAGACATCCTGCACAAATAAAGTAACAGAGTAACCCCTCACCAGCAGATTTCAAGTTCATGAAGCTTACCATGTGGTCACTTTTACAGGCCGCCAAGACTGGACATTATGTAACCACGGTTTTTGTTGCAAACATGTGGCAAAAACAACTGATTTCTGCACCACTTCTGAGGAAAGGCACTAATGGCACCTTGAACCATTTACTTGCCAACTGCATGTATCATGAATGTAACCCCATGGTTTACAAAAATCCTGTATTGATTATGCACCGTAATACTGTGGCATACTGCTGATCAAGGAGTACATGTAAAGATGTCCCCTATGTTTTAACTAATTAAGCACTACACCATGAAGGTGTAGGGAGAAAGGGAAGTACAGATCTGCATTTACTTGACCTCAGCACTAGCTGCAGGTGAGTGGTCAGCTTCACGTCCCAGCCACTTTACCTCTGTGGAAAGGGCCCCCAGTACCCATTGGTTAGGCTGGGTGGACACCAGAGCCAGTCTGGTCATGGAGAAAATTCTTGACCCTACTGGGACTCAAACTCAGGCCCCTTGGTCGTCCAGCCCGTAGCAAGTAGCTTTACCTACTACACTATTCTGGCTCACAAAGAGTACATGTACTTAACACAAATAAGGGTGTCACAGTAACAGCAGCTCAATCTAAAAACCATTCAGAACGCTGAGTATGTTATCTGGGTACATTACAAGTGATCACATCAGAAACACCTTGCAAGAAAGGGGAAGCCAGGCACAATTTCACATCACTTTATTCGTGAACAAGACATGGAAACAGCTTGTTTACCACTGTCAGCATCATTACACTACAAAGAATTTCAAAGCCACTGTAAACTCCTTCTGCAAATATCCTGAATACGATTACACAAGCACAAAAGAAAAATTACTAGGATTATTACACCACTTAGTGTATCTTACATCAATGTGCTTTGGGAATGAAAAACAGAAAAACTATTATTTTATACTACGAACAGCATTTAGAACAGCCTTCTACATGAACTTTCAGAATGACTACACATCTGTTGGTCATATGAAAAGCAATAAGCAGAGGCATGTGAAACATGGATCTCATCTTGTCCTTACGTAACAGTTCAGAATTTCATAATAAACACACCATACAGCGTAACACCTGAACATCAAAGGGGACTGACAGAGACAGGAAAGCAAGCACTCACAAAATAAAGGAGTGACTGTTTCGCTAGTTGCGAGCATCGTTCTGGGTGTTCCCATTCCTGTCCGTCGAATCCCGACCCCTGAAAGTGAGAGAACACTGATATCAAACCGTGTAATACCTAAGAATTTAAGATTCTAAAAGTGCAAATAAAACATAGCATTGTCTTCATTTGCGAACTAACACCTGTTCCATCTCATAATAAATTTTATGAAGATACTTTTCAGCATAAGAGGGCCAGATTAGATGAACTCAAAGTCCTTTGGTTTCCAATGTCATTTTGTTAATTTCTAAACACTGTAACGAAGATGTCCTTTCTTTTCATCACACACTGTGTCACAACATGCCATTTTCACAATATTAGGAACATCGGGCCACAGTCAGACACGATTACCACAGAGCTTACATGCAACCTGTAGATGTATGACAGGAAACAAAAACATATATACTGACATCACAAAGCAGCCACCAGTAACCACACAGTAGCAAGGCAAAGGTGCAAAAACACCAGTGTCCGTTTGTTAAATGCTGTTTCTTCTTCTAGATGACTGAGCTAAAACATCAGTATTTGGCATCACAGACCTACCCTCCAAAACCAACCTGGAATGGTTGAGAAGTGCAGGGGAACAGGTACTGGCAGTTTGGATACAATCAGAAAGGTACTTAGACAAGGTACCATATGGCACAGTACAGTCTACACACAGTTCCATTGCATGTGGTGCCTTTCAATATGGCAACATAGAGAACATATCTGTAGGACACAAATGGCATACAGGCAATCTCAACTACAAAAGGACCTGGTAGCCATCACACAATTACTGGCATGTTCACTACAATACGCATTTCTACTTCATTTAGTCAACCAGTCCAACACGCATTATAGAGGACGGAATAAACTTAAGATACTTTTATGACAGGTTTTCTAACATTCCTGAGTTATGTACAAAAATTTCTTTATGAAACTCACACCTCTCCATCATTCATCTGGTTGACTAAGGTGACCATAAATTCCTCTGTAGCATATAAATTTATGCCCAGTGCTACTTCTTTTCATAACTGTTTAATGCATAACATGATCACTACTTGGTTCCACATTGGTAAAGAGAAAAAAATAATAATGTTGCATTCTTGGTGCTTCCCCCTTAGTCAACACAAACATACATTCACACCAACGCTGCAAAATAAACAACTATACAATTTTCAGTGCAATTTATTTCAAGAAAGAAAATACAACTCATGCACAGCAGCTCAATGTGTGCATGTACTTGGGCACATGCAAGTAAAAAGTTTAGTTATTTAGCATTTACTGATGACAAAGGTCTACATATACCTTGGACACAAGCCTTCCGCCGGTCAGTAGCTATGAACTAGCTGATTTAGTGGGTACCACCAGAGTTCTTCACTTCTAAACAGGAAACTGTTCTCATTGCCTCAATACTGTGATGAATTAAAGACGTAAACTATTGTATCTCCAGAGATGAAACGGAGATCAGAAACCCATGTAAATCAATTCACAGTGCAGTCCAAACAAGATGAATATTCGACACCATTATTATTGTTTTTGGAGTGGGTGCACTGCGACTAGTTATTAATCTATTGTGCGTCCCCTTTAATATTCTACCAGTCGCCATGCCCTTCCAGTACTGGTGCTCACTATCAGCCCTGTTCTGCCAGCAATGTCGGCCACCTCTCTGGCAGTGGTCCCCAATACTTCCCCATCTACCGGAGAAATTGGAAACCACTTGGGCGGGAAACTTTGCCTAATTTTGCTCAGAGGTCTCCTAGACATGAGGATCTATTACGTGCTGTATATCTATGACACGGGACACACGGCTTAAAGTCCCTCCCGGAGGACTTGTTCCCTGAATTTTTCCGCCCTTACAAATTCCACGACCTCCGCCGGGTTTGAACCCGCATACCTTGAGTCATGAGGTGGGAACGTTACCCCTAGACTACAGAGGCTGCTTTCGACACCATAGTATGAGTTCAGTTTTATCTTGGTGACCTAAACACTTCCAACAATAGCAGAAACTGCAAGCAATTTACTGAAATTCCTGGCAGTGTGCGCTTCTCTGAACACTCTTCTTGTAGTCACAGCAGCAGTGGTGAATAGAACATTCCTCCTCGACCAGAACCAGCCAGGACTGGAAACAGTGACAGCAAAACCCACACAGCCAAGCCCTGATTCCAAATTAGAATGAAGTCCAAAATCTTGAGGGGAGGGAGGGGGATGCAGTTTCTTGGTTGAAAGGCACAAACAAAATTTCTTCCACTGCTCAGGCCAGATCACCAATTCAGATTTCCGTGATTTATTCCCATGTACATGAAACACTGGAATATATCCGGAATAGTATGCCATGTTAAAACTACATTTAGAAAAGTTAGAACAAAATTACGTAGTTCATAATCACAATACACGCCAGAAGTTAAATCTCCATGCTCAGTTTTGCAGAACAAATGCCTATAAGAAAGGAATACTGAATATGGGAATACAATAAAATACCAAATAAAATCATGGAGATAGAAAAAATGAGAGTTTAAAAAAGCAATGACGTCATATCTGGTACAACATACGTTTTATTCTGTAGAGGTATATATGTTAAATTAAAGATGGTATGTTTGTGAAAGGGGGGTATTTATTTTTAATTATAGAAATTGAACTATTGTATGTTTAATATGTATGGAACGTTTTCCTATGACAGTGAGTTGACAAGGAAGGAAGAATGGATTGATTGACTGATGTGAAATGGATTGAATTGATTACTCTGTTGGGGAACTTGTGTTGTCTTAAATTTTTAATATAGTTTTATATGGTATGTTTGTTGGACATGTTCACAATTTGTGTATGTAGTTGAATATTAAATTGTAGTATTACTGACTTTTATACAAATAATTTGACTTGTTATATATCTGGAGGCTGTACTGCAAAATGTGGATTTCTAGAACCAATAAAAATGAACATAATCAGTATGGAACTATCATCAAACTTCCTGGAATTTAACATGTCTGACTGCTCAAAATTCATGAAAGTGGTACATATATTCTATAATCATTTACAGATGCTGCCTACATCTTCCCTCTAAGCCCAACGCACAAGAGCAAATGCATATTTAATGTGGTTCCCTGCCATTCAAAAGAATGAATCTGATGGCAGCCACTTGGAAACTGGTACTCATATAAACAGCACCACAGAAATTCTATGATTACAAGAACACTTGTTAGCTGTAAATGTAGCTTAAGAAATACAAGTTTACCTACTCAATCAGAGTCATTTTGGGCTACCTTCCTCAACTGGCATTACATTGCTGACAGAGGGCACAAGTCTTACACAATGGAGAAATGAAGACTATCTTTGGATTCATATAACAGACCTTTATGACTCAACCGTACTGACAATGGTATCTCAACCTATTTGACAGGCAATTTATTGTTGTACAATACCAAAGAATGCCTTCCCATTCCAAATTACAGCTGTCCAGTACTGATTTGCAAGAGAGAAAAAGCACCTGTCAGGCCTTATTTCAACCAGAATCAAACTAACTCAGGGTACACGTTCTCGAAGGTGAAACATTTTATACTAAACACAAGTTATCTACTATATAAGCTTGTTAAATACAGTAAAATACTTTTCTTTTACATTCAGCTTTGGTTGGGGGGGGGAATGCAACAAAAGAATCCATGGCAGCTTCACGGGCACACAAAGCTTATTGATGGCCCCATGACTCTGTTCCTCTACCCCACCCACCTTTTTTTTTTTGCACGTGACGAACACAAAATTAGTTTGTTCTCTACACAGCATAGCACACATTAAGATGAAATCCAAATTTTTTTAAGAACATCCTGCACTGAAACACAGTGCATTATTTGGAAATTTAATTAAATGCATTTGATAGCAGATGTCCGAGAGAAGACAGTGGGCATTACGAAGTGGGTTACAGTGAGGACAGACAGGTATTGGCAATACCACAGCCCACACAGCTCTGCAGAATCTGCATCAGATCATGATAGACATGTGCAGCACTGTCAATGGATTCTGGCCAGCAATTAGAGACAGGATATGGTATCTGGATATGCAACAGCAATGTGTGATCAGCAACAGGTATGTGAACAAGCACATGCACCACCAGAATTGGATACATTATTAGAACAGTACTTTTAAAGACAATGCACAATCCTACTGTTGACATTTAAATTATGAAAAAAAAAATGGTCCATGGCTATGCCCCACTGCTGACAGTCCACAACCATGCCATACTAATGTAAAATGTTTCAAGTGTGACACACTTTCTAAGGGTGATATATTGGGTTTTTGGACTTTATCCATCGTCCTAGTTTTTAAGATAACTAATAAAAAACACGACGTTTCGGAAACTGGATCTGTTTCTGTCCTCAGGTGAAGGAAAACACCTATTCTGTTGGGTCCGTTAGAAAGAGCTAGCCTCAATCACTGGACTTTCTAAGGGTGTTTGGCTACCGTGGCCTCCAGACCTGTTCACCTGATTTCTCTATCATGGATGGAGGTGTTCCCTAAGTAATATCCAAGGATGTACTGCACTCATATTTATTTCAACATGGAAAACCAACAGAACAAAAAATCATGGAGAAACCCCATAAAGTGAAACCCCCAATGACGGTTCCTTTGAAGGTCAGTGGATTTAAACAACTGAGGATCTTACATGGAGGAAATAGCACTAACATTACTGAAATTTAATGCTAAATTTGGGAAAGCAGAGAATTCCAATGTTCTGTCCCTAATCGCCAATGAGATACAACCTGCTTAATTCCTGCTAAGAAGAAACTAGAGCTCAGCATTTGCTTCCTTCAGGTACTGCAGTGCTGAGCAACAGCTGTATGCACTCACTGTTGCCAAGTGGCTGAGGAACCAAGGAGAATGCCCTGTACACCCTTCAATTCTAACAATTTTAAACAGACTGCCCATAAGACCCTCCCCAATCCACCATTCAGCCTATGCCTTGCAACCTGCAATTTCAAACGCTGCAGATCACTGACGAAGCACTTGAAAGGGAACCACTTCTGACATGCGAATAAAGGCAGGAGACGCTGGTGGTGCACTGAGCCGTTCTTTCTGTGTAGCAATTCAACAAGCTGTACATCACAGGGACAAACATCTCAATTCATCTAATTACACACAGAAATATCTGTCCATCATTCCTTGCTGTTTTGGAGATCTATGGTGAAATAAAAACAGATGCCTGAAAACTTCTCAAATAATAATATTACAAGTACTGTCTCCTGAGGCATAATGTCTGGTAGTCCAGTAGAAGTTTAGGGTCAAACAGTAAGCCAAGCAACCAGCAAGAAGCAGGTGGCAAGCCAAGTCAACATCTTGGATTAGGGTTGCTGAACTGTCTGCATACAAAGACAATTTTTTTATCTCAGTGAACTTAAACAAGCCTTCATAAAATATAATGTAACAATCTACTGGACTGATCAGGTACATGTTTGCAAGCAATATATAACATGCAGAAGCTGGTTCAAAGGTGAAGACTGTTTCCTGTTATGTTATCTTTATTACATTAAGAATATAATTTATATTTCATGGGCACTCAGATGATGTGCTCACCTGCATGATTGACATCATTAAGAAACCAACTACAATGGCATGATATAACCATTCCTTCTTCAATTTTAACTGTAATGCAGGATGTCTGAACATACAGTTAGATGAGACATGTTAATTAAGGTAACACTGTGCTCGTTTTCAAGTGGGTCTTAACCATGAGAGCTACCCGTCTAAATGATCACAAAATACCAAACATATTTTTGTTCTATTTCATTTTCCCAGAATTCCTTAGCAAACACAATGAAATCACGTTCATAAATGAGGATTTACAATATTCAAAGTTAACTATAATTAACTACAACTGTACAACTACACATCAGAATGCATTCTTCAGTATCTCTCCAACAATCTGAACTGACACCCTGGGTGTCACAGCGGGTGTTTCCGGCCATAATGATGATGCAGTCTCTTCAGACCATCACTGTGCGCCTACTGCTACGTTATCTTCCAGGCCCCATGGTCTGTGACGAGCTCAAAGTGCTTGCTGCTATGAAGGTTATGACTACCAACACTAATTTGAATAGAATGGCTAGACAAACAGAGGGGAATGCAGGAAGGTATGCTGGAGGTGGGGGGGGGAGCATGACAGCTGGAGGGAGATGTGGACAGCATCAATCCACAGGACTTCTTTCTGCAGTCTCAACACAGGAGCAATAAACATACTTAATTCACAAGATACATACATTTACTTCATACTTTATGTAAACATACAGAAAACACTAAAAGCAAGAAAGGTCTCACTCGAAAAAGTTGGACCAGATGTGAAGCAGTTACTTCAATAATCCTACAATGTTTAAACAAAGTGCACATTCCTCCATGTGTCATCAACCTGCATGTGTGTAAACAAATTCACAGCTGTAATACACAACCCCCAGAAAGTGAAAGAACTGTGTAAAATACACAAGGTTTCTCATTATTTCCTGTATCTCACACAGTGAATAACTGTCAACCAATCATAATGGGTTTCTTTGCTGCAAGAACATGAAATAATAGAAGTTATCTGGAAAATCACTGTCTAAAGTTTGGAACATATTTTGTGAGATCTCCGGTTCTCACTGTGAAGTTCGCCACTGTCTTCAGGAATGTGATACCAACTTAACAATGTCACATCCCTGTACACCCACTGCAGCTCTTTGTATGATATCATGTCTCAATTCACCAGTACATTTCATCATGTCTATCCAGTGGTTCTCGAGCTATTCCACATTCAGACAGCAACAGATACCCCACAGGACCACAAAAGTGCCTAACAATGTACTGCCTGGCCAGACAGATCACGCAAAGTTACAACAGTGCAATGCACATAACAAGCTTTTCCCTCTGTGTACATGCCACTAGACAAAGCAGCTTCCATTACTTTACAATTAACTATGTCTCCCAATTCCATAACTAAAACACCAAAGCTTCTTCAGGTTAATTTGCATTATTCACTGCTTACATTACAAGATTTTCAATGTCAAAACCATGCCCAAGAGGGGGGGAAAAAAAATATTTTTACTGCTTTTTGACTATTTTAAAAAAGGGCTCGTTCAAAAATCTGAACTTTCACCTGCATATTTCACAGCATAGAAGTGTTACAAGGTGCTTATAATGAACATACATACACTGTGCACAACGTCTACATTTGTTTATGCTATAAAACTTAGAAGAGGCCCTGAAAACATGCCTCTGGCAAATAACTGATCGAGACAACTTGCAACGGTTCCAATTTTCACAATGCTTCCAAAAACCTAATCAACCTACATTAAGTATACAACAGGAAAACACGTTATTGTTATCACACAAACTTTGTAAAGAAAGAATTCATCAGTTCTAACATATTTACTGCCATAGGGATTTCTGGCATCTTCTGTCTCATGCCAATTGATGAAACTTGTTGGTTTTACAAAAGTGTGAAATATCACACACACTGACAGAGTGTTGCAGCATGCATAAGCCATAGCAGACCACGCCCTCAACCCCTGCATGCATCCAACGTACATGTGGTGTTACAATATATTTTAAGCATTAGAGTGGGACCCTAGAGTCTTCACTAGCAGCAAGGTAAAGGGTTTGCAAAAGGCGTCACTGACTGCAATGGCATTTAACATGTTAAATGACTGAATCAAAAATAAATGGAGCTGAGTTAAGATACTTTGAAATGCCTTATTTTGAGGCAGTATTGGTATGAAGAGTATTAAAAAAAAAACATGGAACAGGATAAGATACGGCAAATAATTATGGACAGAAGCTATTGCAGTGCAGCATTATGTATGCTATAGGGCTGTTTTGTGCAACATCCACAGGTCCAATACATCTTACCATACAGACTTCCACATTTCTTTAGCGCATTTTAAAAGTACACTTTTCCCTTCTCAAAAATCTAACTAAGAAATTTCATTGCTGGCTGTATCAGATACCTATTACATGAGATTTTGCAACCATTTTGGAGTTGTTTCAAAGTAAAGACTACACGATTCAAGTACAACACAGTTTATAGCTAAGTCACATCTATAACTGAAGGTATCAAACGAATACAAGAACATGGAGTTTAAACACAAATTATGTTAAAATATCTACTAATTATTTTAAAAACTTCAAAAGGTAATGCTTAAATATTGGGAAAACTTCTTGTTCAATCCACTTCTTCTGACTGCATAAATGTAACAGCATTCCCTTCCCAGAAGCAGGATTCTTACCTGCTCCTTGAGCGAGATCTGGAACGGGAACGACTTTTAGAGTGGTTTGGGGGTGAACGGGAGCGTCCATGGTCCCTGGAGCGAGACCTGTCCTTGGGACTTTTGTCTCTGGATCTTGACCTGTCCTTTGGTGACCGATCATGATCTCTAGAAGACCTGTCTTTTGGAGATCGATCCCTGGGAGATCGAGAACGAGAGCGGCTGCGCGAACCACTGCGTGACCTGGTGCGACGGTCCCTGGAGCGGGAGCGAGACCTTGAGCGTGATCTTGAGTATGACCTGAACAGCCACCAGGAGAAAGAACATGTAGCATCATAAATATTATAACAACACAACATGTAAGTCACCTCAAAGGGCAAATTTTCATCTGGCAATCACAGATCAAAGTGAACACAACTGTCCCTCAAAATTACAAACTAATGACTAGAAAGAACTAAGCATAGCATAAATGTTTCAAGCACTAAAATATGAGCTCAATTTCAACATGGTACCTCGATATACGAATTTAGCATGAACCTCACTCAAATATAGGCTAAATGTCATGCAAAAATTGCCAAAAATAAAATAATACTCGGAACTGGATATGTGGATGAAATGTTTTCCTCTTTTCTCTAACACAGAGAATAATTTTTAAATGAACCCACACAAAATTGTTTCCCTTGTACCATTACAGAACTCACGTATTATAATGAACAGTGATTCAACTAAGAACCACTGGCGAGCTCTAGTGGACAATCGGAGAAGCTACGCTGAAGCAACTCAAGTCGTGCATGTCATATAAATCTGGGCGTGTGTGGTGCAGTGGCGACTCTATGCAGGACCCGAAGATTCAACAGAAAAACTGGCTTGTAGCAGAAGATGTGAAGGGGGACACAATTAACGCTTGCAGTCTGCGTAGACTTGTAGTAATTTTACTGTAGTCTCTAATGCAGGCTCAAGCCTGATGATTCTCAGAAGCTCTGAAGACAAATACAAAATGGCAGGACAGACGGAGCGGTCGATGGACCAGTCGTGCTACGAAGTCTCAGCTAATTTACTACGACGGGTCAGGACGATTTTTCTAACTCTCGCGTGGTGGATGGGTGGGTGTGTGCCCTCGCCTCTGAAGAATTCATAGGAGTGGCAGTACTTCAGCACGATTTGTTGACTTGTTTAGACTCTCAGTCGAAGGAAGGAGGTTGTGTTTTGTGATCTTATTTTTCAGCCATATTTCCTAAAAAATGTTAGGAATACATTATCACAATTTAGTCCACCAGTGTCTTATCAAATTAGCTTTGAATTCATTACTTTATTAAAGACAAGAACCCAAAAGTAATCTGTATCAGAAATAAAACAATACTGTACCGTTAAAAATGAAGAGCTTTCAAAACAAAATGAACACAATGGTCACACAGCATACATACCTGCGCCTGCCACCTCCACGACTACCCCTGTAACGATAGCAATCTCGAGCATAATGCCCACGTTCACCACATTCATAGCATCGATCCTCAGGATGAAAAGGTCTTCCTCGCCGTGGTGGTGGTCCACGAAAACGGCCACCTCCTTTTCCTCCCATGCCATTTGACATCTCTACTCGAACTCGGCGCCCACATATGGTTCTGAAGTTAAAATGTTTCAGTAATAAAACACTTACAAAGGCAGATTATAAACATACACCCTACATATAATGCAATGAAACCCAGGATTCCTCCTAGTGAAGACAAACTATACCTGGCATTTGTATCTAAAAAATCATTTTAAGTTTAAAAATTGAGTCTAACCAATTATTCCTCAAAAAGGAATTTCAACATCAGAAGACAAGTTTCAGAAGCAAACTTCTTGTTACTTGAAAATTAACAATTTATTTTACGTACACTACAATTTCATAGTATAAAAATTTTAAAGCTTACTAGAATTTGTGGCCATGTGAACTTAAAGCAGAAATTGTTCCTGTAAGATTTTAAAATCAGCCCTAATAGTTTGTTATCCCTGGTCTTGAAATTTGTGTGAAAAGTTCAAACAAAACCTTTAGTTCTTCAGACCTTAAATTTTCAAACCCCAAAATAAAATATTACAGCTAACCTGAAAGATATCTCACCTCTCAGAATTCCTACAAGAATTTACTTCTGAAAATTTCAACCTTACACAGGTAAAGTTGTCCTTTTGCTTAACCGTGCACTATGCCATTAAAATGTACAGGAGGGTGAAGGTACAGCTCCACTATTATTGACCTCAGCATCCAATGAAAGTGAGTCATCAGCTTCACACCCCAGTCACTTTACCCTTGGGAAGAGAGCCACTGGCACCTATGCACAGGAGGCTTGGTGGGCCCCAGTGCGGTTTGGCTGCCATGAATCAAGCCATAACCATTCAGCTAATAGCTTGTTGCTATTACCTATCAGGAAGCCAGGGCAAAAAATTCTGACCTTTAAAAAAACTGATGTGTCAATATACTCCATCTGAACTAAAGCCATGAAGCATTTTGAGAGAATATGTACACACTGAAAGTGAAACACTAGTTACAGTGACAACTGCTGCAGATGATGGGTACACTGGCTGTTTGAAAGTGAACTCGTGCAAATTGATGATTCAAAAGGCAATACCAAACTGTCTGGTAGAATGAGCAGAGAATTACAGCATCACTATAACAGAAGATGCTAATACAGTAAGCAGTGTTTCATACAGTTTGAATTTCAGGTAAAAAATACCCTTTCCTTTTATTAAAGGGTTTCCAAATTCAGATCAGTAACTACAGGAAATAATAATTTTTATTGCATATATTGTTTCAGATGTACGATTTTCAGTATTTATGATATAAAATCAAAACAAAGGAAAACCTGTTACCTTCAAAACTGTATGATATGTGAACATCAGTTGAAAATTACCTCAGTGGTCTACATTTCTGGCACTGTTGGAATTAAAGCCAGCGTTTATGGGTTAAGGGTAACAGAATCCAACTCAGAGATGACTCTCACCTCAAATTATTTGATTCTGCCTCCATATCTAAGCAAAGGCCACTAAGACCATTTCTTTGGGTGCTTGACTCAAGAAATTTCAGTGAGCACATAGCTACCAATTACAGATCAGCCATGTGCTTCTAGAATAAATGCAGATCCCATCTAGCACAAACATCACAGAATCATTAAGTATAAGGAAATGTCACTGATGAATGCTAACAGGCCAACATCTACATGCCATTCAAATGACAATGCACTGGACTAAACATTGTCAGGGGAAGGGGGGAATAGTCTTACTAAAATTTTCCACAGTCACAAGTACAAAATTCTCCTGTCTTATCTTATGCTATGCATCACTACGGAAACAAATGCAAACTTAAAATGACATCTGGGAACATACCTTCCATCCAGGCCCCTTACAGCATCTTCAGCATCACGTGGATCTTCGTATTCAACGAACGCAAATCCCGGTGGGTTTCTAGCCACCCACACATTGCGCAGAGGCCCATAGTAGGAGAATGATTCTTCAAGTTCCTGTTTTGAAGCTGCTGAACCTGTATTACAAAGTGTCTTCAAATACCTCAAAACTTGCTAAGTCTAACATGTAAAATACAAATGTTGCATGACCAACAGAGTAAAAGCTCAGCAAATTTTAAGGCTGATAATAATGTTCAGGTTTAAATATGGTACACATCAATGATGAAACTAATTTCTAAAACACAGTACAAATGGAAAATATATTGTTTCCTTCTGAAGGATACAGGAGGAGGATGGTCATCTGACTGTATTATACCATCTCAGCTGGTTGGACAGAGAAATTAATCCAGTTCAGTGTACTTATTTCTTGGATGACCTATACAAATGCATTTGTCTTCGTTCGTTCGTACACACACATATACACACACCACAAAAACTACAGACAGCAAAAATGATAACCCAGACAACGGTGAATGTTAAGTAGAATGGTATTTCAGAACAATTTCACACTGCAATATGGAACTTAAGAGAGGAAGGAGACGTAGCCATAACCTCAGAAACTAAGCTGAAAGGAACTCGAAGACTAGATCATTTCATATTATTTAAAAGTGGGGTACCACAAGAAAGACAAGCCTCTTCAAGTGTAGCAATTATGTTGTATAACAAATTAAGAAGTAGCATATATAGCCACAATCTTCTGACTGAGAATTACTGTGGGAATAAAAATTGCTAGAGGTTACCTCACAAAGGCAGGTATATACTCGCCAGAAGGACAAAAGAATGCCAGGAATTCCACAATACATAGAAGCTTACTGACACAATAAAAATGATATTGTAACAGAGGGTGAATTAATGACGCATGTATTAGTAATCATTCAGTTCAGAACATTATACATATGGAGAAGTCTTAGGGTGGTGACTGACTTGTGTAACATTTGCCTGTAATGTAACGTTCGCAGCGAGCATGTTACATTACACAACTGGTGAGGTGCACCGAATGCTCGTTTTGAACGCTCGGCTCAACTGCACTCCACTTCATTTCATTCAATGTCAGATATGGAGGTTGTGTTATCTGCATTCCTTTTACTTTTAATACGCTGTTATTTAAAGAACAGAAGAAAATGCCTTTCAATAACAAACTTGTATAAAAACAGAAATGAAAAGAGTGGATTGAATTTAATGAGTATTCTACAAAATCAAGAATTCACATGTCGGACATGAATGCTCGTTATGACACCGCTCGACTGACTGCCTGACTTGTAATGTGACACTCAAAAGAATTCATGAAAAACCAACATGATCAAGTGCCCGTGAGTGGCTCTGTTCACTGTCTTCACTTGTAATGCTCGATTTGTAACAAGTTACATTACAGGCAAATGTTACAAGTCAGTCGCCACCCTTAGATTTTATGTTGTTCATAAATTTACACGCTTTTTGCATGATAACATGCCCATAACAATAATGTTGAACTTTTAATAGATTTCATGCTTTTTCTTAACTTATACGAGGTGTGTTCAAAAAATGACGGGAATTTCCGTATTTTGGAAAAAATATTTATTCATTCGTCTACATTAATGTTGTCGCCTTCAAAATAGTCCCCATTCGATATTATGCACTTACGCCAGCGCTTCTTCCAATCATCGAAACACTTCTCAAACTCGATTTTTGGGATAGCCTTTAGCTCTTTCAGCGATGCGCTTTTAATGTCATCTATGCTTGTAAAACGACGGCCCTTTAAGGTTCTCTTTATTTTTGGAAATAGGAAAAAGTCACACGGAGCCATGTCTGGCGAATATGGAGGCTGGGGCATCGTTACAGTATTGTTTTTGGCCAAGAATTCACGAACAAGCAACGAAGTGTGAGCAGGTGCATTATCGTGGTGCAAAAGCCATGAATTGTTTTTCCACAAATCCGGGCGTTTTTTTCGGATTGCCTCACGCAAACTTCTCTGATTGTGATTCGGCGATCATTCATAATCATTGCTTTCACTTTTTCCACGTTTTCATCGGTTGTTGATGTGCTGGGGCGTCCGGGGCGCTCGTCATCTGCAACGTCTTCACGGCCATCTTGGAAACGCTTATACCACTCGTAAACTCTTGTTTTACTCATAACAGACTCACCATAGGCCTTTGTTAACATTTCACACACTTTGTAACACTTTATTTCATTTTTTACGCAAAATTTGATACAAATTCTTTGATCCATTTCTTTTAACAAACGAAAATCGCCAAGCTCATAAAAACACGTCTAACCTTAGCGGCTGCCACAGACAAAGTAAGCAATGAATACAGCTGAAAATTTTATTGTACTTCAGGGGCATGTATACCAACATAATAAAAAAAAAATTTTGACAATTGGACTCTCCAAACCCGCGAAATTTTAAAATTCCCGTTATTTCCTGAACACACCTCGTACTTCATTTTTCTAGCCCTGGCTATGAAAATGTGCCCAATTTTACATTTTGTAGTTTAATTATCATAATTTCCTATCTGAGAAAATTCTGGGCATTCTTCCACAGAAGACTATCTCCTTCCTTGTTAGCAGTCTCAAATAGTTCAGCCTAAAGCGGATGCATGGTTGCAAGTGATTTGTGCATGCATTGCGTGACTTCACTATGGCCTAGCTTGCATGAGCCACGTGCTAGGCCAGCATTGAACCTGACACATCACAGCAAATCAGTAACTCAGTGAATGTATTCTCTCGCCCGACGGCTGACAAATGTGCAAAAGAATGACCACTGAAGCACAGTAGCTTGTGTTTTCATAAGTGAAACACTTAATAGAAATAACCCAGGTAAAATTATTCAATTTAACTGTAACAATGCTGACTTCATTTAGCAATGATCAAAGTCTGTTAGAGGCTAAGACGAATTTCACAGCAAGAGGATGAAATATGGGCAACAAAGGAAAACCTAAATCACTTACAAAGTGCCAAAATTAACATCTTTGTGCAAGTTGATACACATACTCCTGATGTAGGAACAGGCTGAAGGATGACTCATCTGATCATAACACGCATGTGTTTCCAACTGTCTGATGTCCAGGTTTTACACCCCTACACCATCGTTTACGCATCCGAGCACTACTTTCAGTAACTAGAGGTTTAGCAATTCTAGCCCTATGTCCTTAGACAAGTGTCTAAGAAATGGTGTAAGAATCGACATAATACTTGCTGAGTCCTTTATAATATAGCAAACCCTAACTAAAACAGAGTAACTGGGAGGGAAGGTCATCCAGATTAATGAAGCAAAAGGTAGCCCTAAAAGAAAAAAAATTTAGAACACACATATAAATGGAAAACATGAGATCAGTAGTCCCGATGAAAATAAATAACATAATTACACTTTTGGACCTCTATTTACAAACTATAAAAAGACAATTTATTCATCGATGGAAGACTCAGAAATTATGTTTTTTAACATAATAATGCAGGTCTGAAGAAACTGTTAAGTTTTGTCTGCACAGGTGACTAATCTGCCTTCCTAAATGCCACGTGTGTTTTACAGTATGTACTCAACTGAGAACATTTCTCATATTCAGGTCCAGACTAACTGTAACTGGGTTAATTAGGGTTTACTGTACTTGCATAGGTTCACAAATATTTGGAAAACCACTGGCATAATAGTATGCACCAATCACAGTACAGCTATCATATAACTGCAGCAGCAATGGTGAATGAAATAAAAATGATATGAAGTGCTGGTGATCTACTTAATGCACCATCCCAATATCTGAGATGTAATAAGGGTAAGGTCCCTATGCTTAAGCACCATACCATGCTGTATGGGATAGGGGAGGTATAGATCCATGTAATCTAAACCAAGGCACTAAATGCAAGTGAGTGATCGGCTTCACGCCAGTCACTTTTCGCTTGTGGAAAAAATCTTTCAGCACTCATGGAACAGGAGACTCAGTCGCCTCTAGAGCCAGAAATCAAACCCTGAGCCCATGTCTAACCTACAGCATGTTAGACAAACATCCCATGTGACTAATAACTACAACAGCACAACCTTCAAATGTAAAAGGAGAACCTAAGTGAACTTACACGTACATACAGTGCAATTCCATCCATTTACAGCTGCTTAAAATAAAACCATAGGTTAATTACAGTATGCGCAAGAGCCTCGAAACAGGTCAACCGTTCTCCTTACAATTTCCTTCTTTATATTCATGGAATCACTGTGTATGTTCAGTTCATCTAGATAAAGCGCTTTATACAAAATCTGCAATTAAAGCTGACGATGGACGTGACCTAACCAGCCGCGATCACCTACACCACTAAAACTAAATATATTTCGAAAATACGCACCAAATACAACTTAAAAAATGGTAAGATAAATATAAACTCACCTAAGTCACCAACATAAAGTTTGCAGTCAGAATTTCCCGAATCCCTATAACGCGACATTGTGATTGCTCTGTAAAATATGTAACACACCATTGATTATTAAACAGAAGCACTCTGAATTACGATAATGAAATCCTTTTAGGGCATATTCAGGGCCAATGAATAATCAATCATACTGTTATATTTACCACAAACTTACCAACGCCGCTGAAACTGAGAGAATTTAGCACTCAAAATTAAACAATTCATACACTACAGCCTTCGAACATAAAGTCCAAACCAAAATGGCTGAGAAGTAACGGAAATCGGAAGAGACGCTATGGGACAGTAGGGTAAAAGGCGGGAACCTAGAAATCCTTGAAGCAAGTTCTCAAAGCAATGTTCGGTTCTGATCGGTCTTACATGTGGCTCCCGCAACCGCCCTCTACCGAACTGATCGGAACTGATTGATAAATTTCATTGTATGAGACTCCCTGAACGCTCCCTGAACGGAGGGCAAAGTAAATCTTCACCGCCGTTGAAAATTAAAAGCTGGAATACTCAGACTCCAGGAATAAAAAAATTAACAACTTCACACAAAAGATAAAAATGACTTACTTTCAACGGACAGCACGGCGTTATATGACAGAAGACGAAACGCTTCAATGATATTGTCACGTGTTAAGTGACTAAACACGAGAACACGAGGGTTGGATCGGTTGGATTCACTCCCGCACGTTTTAAGTTACAGTCCGTATCTGGAGCTCGAAGAAGGAAGATGACAATATATAAGCTGGTGATTCGTTACCCGGATACGCCTAGATGAAACATTATACAGGTATAACAATTGTTGAGAGTGATAACCTAGCAACGAATAGTGAAAGCGGACTTAGAAGATCCACAGCGACATAGGTCGTACGACGTCGTGCGGTTCATGTCGTTTGAAGTAGTGGAATATAGATTGTAGTCTTAGCTGTCATACGTGTCGACATGCGACATCTACCGTACGACAGTCGGAAAGCAAAGAAATGTATTTGGTCGTTGGTCGCTCTAGTGTGAAAAGGAGGCAGTACCGCAAAAAAATCGTACATTTTTCCGTACGACCGATGTCGCTGTTAGAATATAATAATTAATTTTGTTTTCTACTAAAACTGCAGAAAAAAAGACAACTGATAAACTACCTTTCTGTTATGTGGCATGTGGACAGCAACAGCAATTCACAGGCCCAACACCACCATACAAATTTCAACAAACCACCTACAGTATGATGCCTTTGGAACAAATAACAATTAACAGAACCCCGCCAATAAGCAATAACAAAAATAACACCCAAGAGGAGACAGAAATAAGAACAAACTATACTTGGCAACAGGTGAAGAAAAAGAAAAGATCTAACCACAGAAATAACAGCAGAAGAAAATCCCTTGTAGCATAGTGCCTCAACCAACTACGCTACCCAGTACATCATACCAAATCAGAGAAGAAAGGGCCTATAGGGTCTATGTGAAATCTACATCACTCAGTAGCCACGGAAGAAATAAAAGAGGAACTAGAAAAACAAGGTCGTGTATGTGTATAAGGGCTGGGCCATAAAATCTGGCCCTGGCACTGCGACCTTCAGTGATCTATTGTGCTTCCCCTTTGGATTAACTCTTTATTAATCCTACACTTTGAATGAAATGTAGGACTTTAGGTATAGGGACATCATGAAAGTGGCACTGCGACCTTCAGTGATCTATTGTGCTTCCCCTTTGGATTAACTCTTTATTAATCCTACACTTTGAATGAAATGTAGGACTTTAGGTATAGGGACATCATGAAAGTGGCACTGCGACCTTCAGTGATCTATTGTGCTTCCCCTTTGGATTAACTCTTTATTAATCCTACACTTTGAATGAAATGTAGGACTTTAGGTATAGGGACATCATGAAAGTGGCACTGCGACCTTCAGTGATCTATTGTGCTTCCCCTTTGGATTAACTCTTTATTAATCCTACACTTTGAATGAAATGTAGGACTTTAGGTATAGGGACATCATGAAAGTGGCACTGCGACCTTCAGTGATCTATTGTGCTTCCCCTTTGGATTAACTCTTTATTAATCCTACACTTTGAATGAAATGTAGGACTTTAGGTATAGGGACATCATGAAAGTGGCACTGCGACCTTCAGTGATCTATTGTGCTTCCCCTTTGGATTAACTCTTTATTAATCCTACACTTTGAATGAAATGTAGGACTTTAGGTATAGGGACATCATGAAAGTCCCTTGGTTCCATGAAGAACTAACCCAGGTGACAAAATCTTAAGTAATCTATGGCCTTACAATCACATAGGATATGTGTGGCTGATTCGTCTTCTTGTAGGCACCTTTCACAGGTTGGGTCATCTGTCAGTCCCAGTTTGAAAAGGTGTCCTTTTAGGTGGCAGTGTCCAGTAAATAATCCTACCACCCATCTTAATTGATCTCTGTTTAATTTCAACAGGTCCTTTGTTCTTCTGGTGGAGGGTCCTGATATAAATCCATTTGCCTGTTTGAGTCAAATTAAAACAAGGTTATACTGTCTGCAGTATACTCAAGTCAGGCTGTCAAACAAAAGAACCACTGCCTTTGTTTGTCATAGACCTAGAACCTAAAAAAACAGTGAGTCCATGTTGGGTTAACTGAGGATTTCATCCACAGTGAGGCAGTACATGCGTTCATCAATGTAGTGAAGGACCGGGAAATTACACCGCATCTTCTTTGCATGTCAGACGTCATTCAGCTAAACCCTCAACAGACCATGAATCAAGATGCTATGAAGAATATGGAGTGCTGCAGGGATCGATATTGGGTCCCTTGTTGTTTCTGTTATATATATTAATGATTTATTACTAAGTCTAAATACAGATATCAAGTTATTGTTGTATGTGGATGATACAGGTGTACTAGTATCGGGTGATAATATCCAAACAAAGTTCAGACATGTGTTAAATTCCTTAAACCTTTGGTTTACAAGTAATGGCCTGTCTTTAAATATGAAGAGAACTAAAGTTTTAAAATTTGAAACAATTAATCATCATGGAAATATGCCAATGCAATTGCAGAGCAAAAATGAGGTATTGCATGATGCAATGAATATCAAATTTTTGGGCCTTGAAATAGATACGTTTTTAAATTGGAAAAAACATGTTAAAAGTATTTCGTTGTTTGCTTTCCATGCAATACGAACAGTTCTTCTTAATAATGAGGCAGCATTACACAATTCATTAATAGCTACACCATGGGCCTCTCTTAAAATCTTCTATATAAAGTAATATCGAATTTCCCTACTGTCTACTGAAACGCACACAAAGTATATCCAATGACTGATTCAATGTTTTTGAAAACATCATTAATATTTTATCTTGTTATAATACTTCCAATTTTTAATTTTTATATAATCTGAACTTTTGTATTTTTTACATAAGCATTTTTAAATTTGTACGATTAATAGTGTTATATCCATTTTATGATTGCAGTTAAATGGTAGATTTTTGTTGATATGTATCTGCCTGCCCCCTCCTTGGTGTCTCCACCTTATCGTGGTGAGGGGGTTTGAGTATGCCGAGGACCCTGAGAGCTATACCAGCGGTAGCGTAGCTACTGGCAGGGCCTCCCTTGCTGGACAGGTCAAAGGGTAGGCATCAGACGAAGAGAGACACCGAAAACTGATGCCGGAAGCAGCGACTTGAAGCACAGAGCAAATGATGCTCGAGATGGTTCAAGTTCGTATAGCGTGACCAGAGTCGTTTGAACGGCTGTTGTACTGCGATGTGGAAAGCAAATGGAAAAACTACCACATTATCACTTTTCCTGGATAGTCTCTTTCCAAAAACAGAAGATCGCATTAAGTGGAGAAACTGTTTTGGAAGAGACTGTGGACCTGTTGTCTGACAGATTACTGATGATGATGATGATGTATCTGCCTGATGATGGCCAATAGTGGCCAAAACATGTAGCAGAGCCACAGCTGAACGCTGACTTTGATGTTTTACTATTTGCTGTGTTGTGACGGTTCATTAAAGAGTTGTATATTGTTACCCAGATTGGGCAAGGCATGCTTTGCATTAAGAAATATGAAGTTGTGCAGTAATATTGAAACACTCAGGATGATGTATCATGCATATTTTCATTCAGTCATGAGGTATGGGATAGTTTTCTGGGGTAACTCACCAGATGCTAAGAAGATTATTATCTTGCAGAAGAGAACTGTTAGGGTGATGATGGGATTGGAACAAAGAGATACACGCAGGCCAGTATTAAAAAAACTAAATATATTAACATTGGCCTCCCAATATATATTATCTTTGATGATTTTTATGATAAGTAATCTTGAGTATTTTATCCATGATATGTATACAGTGGCCGTCTTGTAGTACACTCAGTTTCACCTGTTACTTCACGACATGTTTCGGCAACATAGTGCCATCATCAGGTGCCCTAATTACGCTAATCTATTGCATTCCTTGCCTTTATATGTCTTTATAAAAGTATTTAAAAAGTGCGTATTTGTCAACTATAATAATTTACACACACTAAAACTTGTTAAGATTATTCATCTTATGTGTCTTAATTAAAACTTGCATGTGGTTCTTCCACTATGGGGGTCGTTTTTCTTATATTCTGTGTAAACCATGTCTTGTGATGTGTGTTCCGTTCTTAGCTGCGAGTGTGTGTAAATTTATTATAGTTGACAAATACGCACTTTTTAAATACTTTTATATAGACATATAAAGGCAAGCAATGCAATAGATTAGCATAATTAGGGCACCTGATGAGGGCACTATCTTGCTGAAACATGTTGTGAAGTAACAGGTGAAATTGAGTGCACTACAAGATGGCCACTGTATACATATCATGGATGAAAATCAGTGCAACAGGACGCTAGAATACAACATTTTGAGTATTTTATTTTTAATGATGCAATCCATGATAAGACCACAAGACACAGAGGGAATTTACATGTATTGCAGTCACATTTAGCAGTAAGGAAAAAAGGAGTTTATTATATGTGTGTTCAAATTTTCAACAGTTTGCCTCTCTATGTAAGAGATTTCGTACAAGACAGGAAACATTTCCTAGGAAAACTAAAAGAAATATTAATCAATAATTCGTTTTATTCAGTTGATGACTTCTTGCTTTATTGTAAGGATTTATAGTCAGAAATATGTTTATTTAGGTATATTTCATTGCATTACTGTGCAATTTATATATCTAAATGTGTGACAATTATAGTTCTTCATTGCATGCATATATAGTATATATATATATATATATATATATGAGTAGGAAGGAGAATTATTATGTATTGTTAATTATATTGTTGGTATAATTGTATGTGTAACATTGTATCTATTTTATTGAGGTATTACTACTTTGTCCACCACAAATCCCACTTGACCAGACCCGGGATTGAACCCGGGAAGCCAGCGACTAACC